TTAAAAATTAATCCATGAAGTGTACTAATATATAATTAGGGTTCGGGACTTTGAGGAATTTTTTTAAAAATTGTTTGGATCACTTTCGAGACACCCATGGGTCCCGAACTTTAATAATTATAAATCATAAAGATAAAGTTGTTCTGTTTTTATTAAAAAACTGAAATTGGGAAATTTTAAGACTTAATAATTTATTATTCATATCAATGAAATACGTTTTAAACAAATAATTAAAACGCCGCAGCTTCTATGTGATTTTTTTTAAATATCATAAGCAATGTAAATTTTAGCTAATAAAATGGAAAATTCTATAATTACGAATTACATCATACAGAAAGTAAATTTTTAATAAATGAAGTTTAAATTAAAAGTGTTAAAATTACTTAAAGACCTATACATATGTTGTGTGTCCATTAAAAGATACGTAATCATAATCTTTTTTCTAAAATTAAAAATAAATTATTTTATACACATAATCTTTAGAAATAAAAATCAGGGAAATTTTGCAATATATGGGAAATACTCTCCAAGAATAAATTCTTGACTAAAAATTCACAGGCAAATTATTGTTTTATGCAAATTATTATGATAAAATTTGAATCAATATAATAAAAAAAGAAAATGTTTTATGACGACATAGTTTTGCCAATGAGAAGAGGTGACCCTATTTAAGTGACTGATTAAAGATTTAAATGGCACAGCAAATCCAGAGGTTTTATACATTTTTTTATTTAATTTTTCCATTAAAAAACCCAAGAAAATCACCTAACACAAGAATTAATCATTTTATAAACTGTTAAATAAAAGGATTTTTATATAATATAATAAATAATAATATTGTTGAGCTTCGTTTAAATAGTCGTCAATCTTCATTTCTGTAGTAGATACTGTCACAAATATAGCAGTGTAAATGACATGATGCGGCGATCAAAAACTCTCCCATTAAACCCAATGTACAGTAAATAACTGTCAGTGTTGGAAATAAAATCTGTGTTAGATTAAACAACTATTAACATGTGATTAATAGAAAAAAACAAACATTTCTGTTTAATTTTCATTGTATTTATTCTATTAATGATTTTTAAAATTGTAAGAATTTTAGTCTTATAACAATAAAGTATCATACAAATGTGTATAACTAATCATTTATTTTTAAATTTCAATTACCGATTTAAAGAATTGTAATAATTCCCAGAGATCAAATTATATAACATTAAAACAAAACATTTTTATTTTAATGAGCTAGCAGTTGGTTTCTTAAACTTTGCTTCATGATTCTGTTGATCATACCAATTAAATATGAAGTAATAAATTTCAGTTATAAGAAAAATGCTTTTATATATGCATGTATATAAGTGGCAGTAAAATAGGGGATAAATGGATTTCCATCTTTTTTAAATATTATAGTAAAAGAATATTTAGCGTGCTAAAGATAAATAAATCCACATAATATTTGTAAAAAACAAATATATTCTATTTAAAATAAGTCATAATTATTTATTAAACATTATTTTCAAATATTGAGAAATGTCATATGTGCTCAAATAGCCATATTCAGATTAAATGATGGGACTGCTAAAATGTTTGTATAAAGTCATAATAAACATTTTTGCTTTAAAATAAATGCAAAATATATAATTTTGTAGTATATTTTATGTTTTAAAAAAATAGGGGTGTTTATATATGATTAGAGTTTCACCAAATTAATTTGGAAAATTCTATTATTCTATGATTTTTCCATTTTATATTTTCGCACTATTAAAATTAATTTATAACCACCACTAATGTATTCAATTGAAATTGACCCTATCATATTTTTATATTTATATGTGAAAAAATAAAATATTTATAATAAATAAATCTGTTATAAAAATTAATAATTTAAATTTTTTAACAAACAAGTAAAATAAAAAAGCAGCTCTTAAAAGAAGAAAATTTGACAGTTTTTAAGAAATCAACCTAACACAATTTCATTATTGCTAAAAGAGCAATTAAAGGACAAGATGTGTAACACTGTTAAAGCTCCTGTATGATCACCCATCCAGAATTCAAAAGTAAATAGCGCAGCTGAACATTAGTGCTAAGGAGGCGACTAAATGATCCACTACACTACAACACAACCATTAGTTTCTCTATAAAATGATTATCAAAATTAAATTTTCATGTTTACCACAAATTTAAAATATTGAAATTTTTTCTGGATTCAGGAAGCATTTTTGTGAATTTGAGTATGGTTTTCATTTTATACTATTACACTTAATAAAAGAAAAATTGAAGCACATTTCCAGTCAGCATCAATTAAGTTTTACAATTGAATACTTTGATAGTAGTATTAAATTTAACATGAATGAATACTTTTAATATCCTATTATTTAGGTTATGTTCGAATAAACCTACACAATTTATTAAGAACCTTAAGTTTATATGACTAAAAACGATTTTGAATAGATCATAAAGCACATAAACACATAATGCTTAAACCTTAATGGAGTACATCTACCTACACTAAATTTTAATAGATTCGACCTGTGTCTACACTTTACATATACACCTACATTTTACAACAGTATCTTAGTTATCCAAAATATTACTGAAATTTAAAAAAATCTCAAAAATATTATAATAAGAATTAATTTTTATGGTTAACTTATCTATATAATTATATCAAAAATATTCACTTTTATAGAATGTATCAGTTTGGCCAGATATTCATTTTTTTTATTCATATACTAATATGCAGAAGGAAAACACTTCCATTGTCTAGAAAATTAAAACACTAAATTCTAAAGACCATTATAATATATAGTTAGTTTTTAACACAGATTTGGAAAATACATATACAATGTAGAACAAATTTAAATGACAACTTTTATAACTTTTGATGCAATTACAATAGCATTCTTACTCTATGTATAAAACAAATTTATAATTCACTTTTAATAATAGAATATATATATTTGGAATAACTTTGAAATAATTTATTAAAGTATTTTTACTCATAAGATTTGGACATTTTTTTTAATTTTTATTCATTTTTGTTAAACTAATAAATTATTTAAATATAAAAAAATATTCCATAACATATTTTTCTATAAATGGTATGTTCTAGTATGACTATGTAAGACTATTAAAGATTGAAAATATATTATCTAGAGAGTATAGTTGAATTACGTTTACAAGAAAAATCAAATCAAATTGGTAAATAATTTTATATTTTTAATTATCTCAGTCTTCAAATTAACAATTTTTATTTACAATTCATTTACTTGAAGGTCATTACAAGTTCTTTATGATTAATTAATCTTAAAATAATTTTTATTAATAACATTTTTTATTTTTAGGAATTTTCCACTAACTTGAGAATTTAATTACTAAAATATGACAAAAAATTTCAATAAGATAAAAATTATATCTTTTCGTGTTCTTAAAATTTATTGAGGGAATCCTGAAATTTCACAAGTAAATACATAATGGAAAAATATTATTACACAATTATCACTTTTGAGAAACACATTATAGTGAAAATTGATTGATTTCAAAATAAATGAATCTTGAATACTTCTTTATTTTTAAAAATATATACAAAAGAAAAAAAGTTATAAAATTCATAAGTTAAATAACCATAGTACTATTTAACTTAAGAAAAATAGAGTTGTGTTATTTCAATGTTACTATAATTTAGTATTATAGATAATATAATAACCAAACAAACTTTACTTAAAAATTGCACATGTGTATAAATTACTCGCTACAAATTTTACGTAAATCATTCATTGATCTAAAATCAAAAATATAATTTTAATTTTAAATAATATTACATACAAGTGATCAATTCTTATTCTATATTCATTGATCGTCATATAAAATATTTATTATCAACATTATACTATATCATACTATATCATTATTATATCAGACAAAACACATAATTATCAATTAAACATTTTATCAATCATTTAATAATAATACTCATGAAGATAAATATTCAAATTAAAATGTTAAAAGTAGAATAGGCTACATTAATCTAAATGCTTATTTTAACATGTCATGTATATATAGGGTTGAAAAATTGTTAATTTATACTACAATTTGTAATTTTCATAATTAAAAACTTCATAATGGCAAATAGATATATTTTAAACACATGTGTGAATTTATTTTATCTTGTCATATATAGTATAAGAGAATAATTGTTTATATTTGGTTATATCACTACACTTCTAAATATAATAAATTGGATTTTGTCCAAATTAGGATATGGAATGAATTTAAGTTTTTTGTAAATACATGAATGCTAACAAAGATAAATTAACAATTTCAATAGAATATTATTTAAAAAGATTAAATAGATAACAGATTTTTTAAAGAATATAACAGAAGAGTGAAACATGAGGAAAGCCTTATTAAAGTAGACTCAAAACTATAAAAAAAATCAATAATTTGTAATTTTATTTCAAACAAAAAAGAAGATGTATAATGATTATTATAATTATGAAAGACAACTATTCAATAATATTAATAAGTATAAATAATAAATTGGTAATTAGGTATACAGAAAAACACTAAGTTTCCCATTATAAGATAAAATAAAATAAACCAAAGTAAAATATCAGTACTAAATAAAATTTTTGAATATTTATATTAAAAAATGTTTTTAATATAAATAATAATAGGGTGACTTCATAATAAAATTAGAATTAATATATTACGAGAAAGGAGACATGCAAGATATTTTTATAAAGAATATAAGAATAGTGTCAAAGAAAATCTATACAAAAATATGATAATCATAAATAACAAAAGTTGAACTGACTTAAATTTACTTTATTTGACGTCAATGGTCTAGTAACAAGTGACAATTTTAGCAAAAATCGGTAACTAGACCACCGACATAAAATTTTATATGTTAAATAAATTTTTGAAGCAATCTACTTTTTTTTATTGTAATAAACTTGTGTTTTAAACAATTTATTCTATTTACGATAAACATTTTTACTTACAGATAGTAAGATGCTGCATAGAGAAATAATCTAACATAATCTATCATTATGCCAGCTTCCAAGATCATGCTATTGTCACTTCCACATTTAATAAATTTGCACTTTCATATTTGTTTTAAAAAATATAAAACAGATTTTTATTAATTAGAAAAGTTGAAAACACAACCGGTAGCGTACACACGACAATACGAATATTAAAAGTATACTGACCGGAATGTAATATGTTCTGCGACAGGAACCGACACCGAACACGATGCAATACCACAGACTACACTAACATTTGATTGATGACTGGGTGCGTCCGACGACACCGCCCATTCAAACCTTGTCTAATATTGAGAACCAATGAATTTAAACAGTGAGTGGTAAAATCTATGGTGGCAATTTTTATACTCAAACAATAATTTTAATGACACTATTTTAATTAAAATTTTAGAGATTGCAAATTTTATTTCGTTTTTGAAATTGGAAACGATCAAAGTTTCTGACCCGCCCATACTCTCCACTAACTAATGTCAGTTTTGCTTGTTATAAGGTTAGATTGTAAAATATAGAATGATATGCTTAAAAAAATATATCTCTTGAGATCCTAATATTTCGTTAAAGATTTTAAACATAATAAAGCACTACTCCTTGACTAAATAGGACTTTAGTCCTATTAAATACTACTTTGCACCAAAATAAAAAAGCTTTAAATATAAAAGATTTTTCTTAATGTAGAATTGAAGTGAAAATATTTTGAGTATTACATATTTAGGCATAGTGTGTGTTAAGTTTGCACATGATATATTATTGTCTTTAATTTTTATTAAGAACTTTTCTATAGGTGCAGTGTTTTGTTTAAGGTACAAAATCGTTCTATTTTACGATACGCCACTATATGAAATTAGTCAAATTTATACAGTTTGATGTATAGCCAGGGGGTAAGAAAAATGCAAAACCAACATTATTACTATTTATCCGATCTTTTTCTTATTATTAATCCTCGTCTTAATCCCAATTACTAGGGGTCGGCCACTCTTATCCTAAACTTCTACTTGACACGATCACCCACATCATCTACGCTCACAACAGCCGTCCTCATATCGCATTCAATTACATCCCTCCATCTCTTTTTTGGTCTTCCATTACCTATTCTTCCTTCAACATTCCTTTCTATTACTGTTCTTACAGCTTCCGAATCCTCTCTCCTCATAATATGACCAAACAAACTATCTAAGTCTAATATTATTATTTATTCAAAACCACATAAAATAATGATTAGGCTCGAGAACCCATGAAATTTTATTAAATACAATTATAGGTAGAATAGAATTGTATTTAAAAGTTTTAGGCATAATTAAACTTTTTTTCTCATTTCTTTTAAATTATGACATTGTGATTAGAAAAATGGTTGTTTTTAAACTTATATATACATACTTTTAATGGCTTTTGTAAAGAAATATTGTTTTTTATACTAAAAGGAGGATAAAACATCTTTTCATTGTATTCACAAATTTCTATCAGTTGATTTACAATTTATACCACTACCCTATATTAGTATTTAAAGTAATTTCTAAACCGAAAAACAGTTTTGGTTTTACAGAAAAAAACCTTTTAATATAAATAAACACTAGGAGAACTAGGTATTAAGTCTTAAGCACAGTGGAGTATAAACAAAATTTGGGAGATAATATTTATTTTAGCCTCTTTAAATTTTTTTTTATGTTTAATTAAAAAAATTTCCTAATTTTTTTTGAAGGGGAATAATTTTTTTTTGAAAATGGCCAAGCTGTGTTTAGCTGTTATATAATTGTATAAATTATATTTTAGTACTATAAATAAATCATTACATAAGAAATAAGGACTCATTAAATTATGTTCATAGACAGAATTTATTACATTAAATGCAAAACATTTTTGGTTTTTTTTACACATTTTTATAACATTATTTAACAATATACAAACATAATTACAGCGTTACTGTAATATTGGTTTCTTAAATTTATCACAAAATAATATGAAAAATGCAATATTTAGCTAATTTGATTAGATTGCATTTTTCATTTATCAGAAGTAGAGAACATTATTTAGATTTTTTATCAATAAGCACATAAAAATATGTTTAACTTATCTGTAATGAAGATTAAAAAAATTATATCACTTTTCCGATCTTGCAATAAATGCAATGAAGGAATTACTATTTTTTTTATATAGCAAAAATAAATTAGTAAAAAAAAAAAATAATAACATATTACGTTAATTTGCCATGATATTACCAACATAATCACTGAGTTTGTGATAGTTTAAAAACAATGACACATAAATTTCATTAATATTAACATATCTTCATAGCTAGATAAACTGTAGACAACTTTAAATATATATAATAAAATAATAATAATGTAAAAAAATTAATATAAATGTACATTAAACAAAAAATAAATATTGATAATAATCTAATAAAGACAGTATTGAGAGTGTAGGATGGGTTGCTCACGCAAAAGTAGATATTATACATGTATACATAAAAACTCTTAATGTGCAAAGTTTTAGATCTGTACAAAAACAATTTTTACAGCATAAAACAAAATTTAATATTAAACATTTTTCTAATATGACTTTAAATATAAAAAATTTAATCTGTCAGAGATAACTCTACTTTATTGTTATTATATTTAATTTACTCATTTCTTTTTATTAATAAAATATTTGATACTTTAATTTATTACTTCGTGTCAGCAGATGTTAGTAACTTAAAATATATATGGACTTTGATTTTAGACTAATTGTCGCATATAAAATAATATTTATGAATCATTCTGATGGATTAGTAGAAAGATCATAATTAAATATATAAAGGGTTTAATTTACAAAATGTAATATAGCATAATTTTGTTAGATAGATTTTAAAAAAATAGCTTTTATTCACATAACAAAAAACTTCAATTGTATGCTACTTTTGTTATTAAAAAATAAACAAATGTATTCAATGTGCTTCCGTTGAAGTAAATACTTCGACATTATTTTCTGCATCTTCACAATCTGCAGAGTTAAAATTGATTGTGTTGTATTGCATTGGTACAGAAGCATCATAATCGTCATTATTTCTAAAATTTAATATTATGATATATTTTAAGATGATAAATGACAATTAATATATTATAGTTTAATTAAACTGATAGATATATAGTATATCATTAATTTTTAATCATATAATAATTATAAATATTTGCAATTATTTATTGATGTGTTTTTTTTATATTTTTTTAATTCAACCATTGCAATATTTTTAAAATTCAAAGATTTCTGAGAAAAAACAATTTACATACAATAATTTAGTAAAATGAAAGTTTTTAAGAATTAAAAAAATGTAATTTTTACGAAATTAAAATGTCCAAAGCATAATGAGAATTTTATTTAGGATTATTATATTAACTTCGATAAATAGTTTATTGGTTTTACTCAGCTTTTTTTTTTGTATCATTAGATAAAATTACTACGCTCTTACTTAGCCATTTTTTCTCAACAATATATATATATATATATACCATAAATCATATCTATTTGAACTTATCAGTGAAATAATTTTGTATAGTTTCTTTCAATTCAATTAATAAAAGAGAATGTACCAAAAAATTTCAAATATAAAATTTTTAATTTTTACTTTATAAACTTTTTTTTGAAATAACTATTTGAAAAATAGATGAATCATTACAATATTTTTATTGATAATATATACATACTGCGGTACTAAATCTGGTACTACTTGCATAGGTTCTGTGACTAAATTTGCTAATGCATCTTCCATAACATTTGGCATTTCTATTTCATCACCTTCATCTGAAGAATCTTCTATTTCATGTGTGGTCATTGTTGGTGGTATATAATCCTAATAAAAATGATTACCATAAGTTAAACACATATTGAGTTTTTTACTACATTGTAATATTTGTTATAATATCAACTATAAAATATCATATTTTCATAAAATTGTAGAATTTTTTATCATATCTCTCTTCTTATTTTTATTATTATTTTTATAAAAAAAAATGTCATTCATTTTTAATACCACAAAATTTAACAGTGACTCACAAGAATTTCTAAGTAGAAATATTGCCTTTTAAGTATTATATTTTAAAAAGATATAAGTATTATATTTAAAAGAAATCTTACTTTTAAGAAATTTTTAAATTTTAATTTGAAGGCCGCAATAAAACCTCATAAATAACAGTTATGTCCAGTGTTAGATTAAATTCATTTAAATTTCATTATTATATTTATATTATTGGATTATAATTTCTAAATTTTTATCTACAATGTTCTAAATTAAATGAATATTCTTATAGAAATTCATATAATTTAGCAGTATATTCAAGTATAATATTTGTATACACTATCTTTATTAATATACTTAATTTTAATATAATCCATATGAAAAATTAAAAAATGATAATATTAACTTACATCAGTTGGACAAAAGTCGTAAGCTTTTTGTAAAACTTTTCGAGCACTTGTAGATCTTTCTAAATAAAAACTGTTTGTATTTTCATTAGACTGTGGTGTCCAGCTATTATATGTGTTATATTGCCCTCCAGATAGTGTTTTCTAATTAAAAACGTATTAGCTTAGTATAAAGTCACCCAAGAAATGAATATTATAAAAAATAACTTACTCTATGAAGCTCTTCTTGTAACCAATCTACAGCATCCATCCATTTACGCTTTAATTCTATATGTTGCATAACAACTTTATGAGCCATAGGGATTCTTAAGAATAACCCAACTAATGCTTTAATACATTGATAAGATCTTCTTTGGTATTGATTTTTATGACGTAATATTGTGTCTAATACTCCTTCTCTTTCTTCTAAAATAAATTTATTAGAATTAAAATTAGGTAAAATTTTGAAACAAATAATACAAAATATTACCATTCCCAGTCATAGCATTTTGAATTCGTAACATTTGCCATGAATCTTCGATATTCAAAATAACAAATAATAAATCTAAATAAAATTTGAGTTCTTGACAATATGTGTACATAATGTGCCATAAAATTTCTGTTAAAACCATGCTACTACTTTGTGGATTTTCCCAACAAACAAATTGAAGTAACTTCATACTTTCTTCATTCATTTGAGAATTGTCAATTAATTTTTTTAGGTAACTGTTATTATAAAGTATTATATTAATATAAGTTTAAAATTTATCATAATAAATAATGAACTTTAAAATTAACTAATTACCATATTCGACCAAAAATACAATCTTTAACTTGTTGAGGAACTTTTCTTAAATAAGGTTGACATTCAGCATATGGATTAGGTAAAATAGGAGTAACCTAAATATAAAGTTTAATTTACCAGTTAATCAAAATTATTATAATAACTTAAAACTATTAATAGTAAGTGAAAGTCTGAACTTACAGAGGTGGAAGATACACATTTTTCTGAACAATCACAACATCTAATCAATATTGATATTACCGAATGTAGTTTATTAAGCTCATTAAATTGATATTTAATATTAGAGCCACCAGGGCCTTCATCAATAGCTACCAAGATAAATATTGCTGGTACATTAAGCTGAAACATTAAAACAAGTAGAATTGATCTTATTATTAAGAATAATATTAAATTGGAAGCTGTAGTGGTATAGCTGTAATTTAATTACTCTAATTAGTTGTTGCTTCTCCACCATTCCCAAATTACAGTACATATAAAAGAAAGAAAAATAATGTGGTAAATGTCTATTAGTATGTTCACCAACTTCTTTTTGTAATAAACTTAATACACCAATAATTAAATGATCACTCAATGAAGCAGTTGTATCCAATAAAGAATCTATCAACATGAAATAAAAATAATATTTGTACTTAACAACTAAATACTAAAAACTAAATTACTTGATGTAATTGCTGGTATTAAAATAGCATCATCTTGTAAAGAATAATGAGCTAGATATGCAATAAGTTTAATAAAAAATGAACGCACTTCAGAACTCATACAGTGTAGTAAATATTCAGCAAATCTAAGAATTACATTTTAAATTAAAATTGCAGATAAATTTTAATATTTTAATTATGATAAATAATACCTTTGTGGATGGTTAAATAAAAGGTTTTGGGCAAACCAGGCTCTCACTGATGCATAAGTTCGAATATGAGAAGCTAATAAATCATACCATTCTATGGCATTCCCTCTTAATGATTTTTTAGTATGTAAACCAATATAAAATAAAAATTTACCAACTAGTTGAATAGATAGCAATGATAATTCTTCCTGATTTTCAACCTAAAATTAATTATAACAAATAAATTTATTTAAATTTATCTTTTATTCTAAAGTATCTTACTGATTGAACTTGATTTAAATCATTGATAGCTAGAGACGGTGCATTAATTGTAACAATATTACGCATAAATTTGAAGTATTCTTCAGTGTATTGACTACGTGTATGAAGAAAGCGTATGTTTTGTTGTTGTACACTTTGCTTTATATTAATAGGCATTTTAATTAAATTATTACTAGCACGACGTTCGCCTATAAAATGTAATTTAATGTATTTTAATTATGTAATATCAAATATATTATATTAATACTTACCCATACTAAGTTTACGCAAACCATTAACTAAATCTTTACAACCATTTTCAACTTTAGTATAAAATAACATGTATGCATTCCACCATCTTTTTTGTCTACGATAACTAGTTCTCTTTAAAGCATGGTCAAATACCTAAAAAAATAAAATAAGTAATGCATTCTAAGAGAAACATGTGATGTATTACTTCTCCCATGTAATCCCCACCAAAACATTGAGTTTTCATTTCTTCATCTTCATCCATTTTACATTCTGTAACATCCCCATCATCAAACTTGTACCATTTAGAAGAACCATCTGAATTTCTGCAATAAGAAAACAAAAATTAAAATAGTATAAACTTTTAGAAAATTTTTACAATAACAAAGTAATACTTTTATAGTCAAATTTGAACTGTAAAGGCCACAATTACGGGAATATTTTTTAAACAAAGTATACATTTTGTGTAATGTTTAATGCAAGCATAACCACATTATTTAATAAAATAAATCAAACTATCATAATATTTTTATAAAGCATTATTTTTTTTTTTAACTAGAATTAATCAACAAATAAATGATTACCGATCCTGAATATAAGAATAGTAGTGACCTCCACTGGCTTGTCCACTATGTACTACTATACCAGTCAGCTGATATTTGGTATTATTTTCATTTTCTGATTCATTATAATCACAGTCAATTATTTCACCTTCAATTTTGGCTAAGCCAGATACTAAAAATTTAACACAAATATTAAGTCTTATAAGTTAAATTTATTAAAATCTTTTCTTTTTCCTCATTTTAATCCCAACTACTTGGAGTCTGTCAAGTTAAATTTAAGAAAATAAAAAAATAAATACCAGTATAGGGCTCCATATCTAGATGACGTGGGAACTCAAAGTAATCATTGAATTTTATGGCACACACTCTTTCAAAATCATATTCAAATCTTTTAAGTTGAATTGCTAAAATAGGGGGTAACTTCTTTACGCATAACCTCTTAACAGTAACAACCTATAACAAATATTAGAAAATATAAATGACTAATATATTTATAAAATTAAAAATTATACAAATATTTTGTTTTACCTTTTTATTACATTTATCACAATGATAAGCATCAGCCCCTTCTAAAAGTTCTCCTTTAACATATTGTTCTAATGAATCAGTTAAATTTGAGTGATTTCTAATGTCTACACTTATAACACTAAAAGGTTCTTCTTTGGAATACCTAAAAGTATTTATCATTATAATAAATAAATTATATATAAATATATATATATCATTTTTTTTATAAAATAAAATAAGTGAATGTAAATATTTCCTAGTTAGATTTTGATAATATATTTTTAATTTTATTGTTTAAAGTACATCAGACATACAAAACAAGATGGTCAATAATAAGATTATAAGCATATAAGATAGTGGGTATAATGTGCACATAGCCATCAAATACCACATTATCGTTTTTGATAGGGTATGGTTGTTTCTAATCCTATTTGTATAAGTACAATACAGAAAACTTAAAGTAATTTGAAGTATACGTTGTATGGAGATGATGTATAATACACATTTTTTAGATGTGTGCAATGGGTGACAATAAAATTAATGAATTTATAATAATATGTGAACGATCATGTTTCACAGTACGCAATAAACTGTATAATGAAAAAAAATCATAATTGGAATGTAGTTACAGGGAAAATATCCATTATTTTATAGATTAATAAAAAGTACGGAAACTAAGACAACAATTAATAAACATTCCTGAGAATTTGAGCTAGGTTGATGAATGTCTAAGAAAATAATTAGTCATATCATTAATATAGGTTATATAATTTTGTTTATGGTAATTTTGTTATGATAAAACTTTTTTTTGTAATAAACTATGGTGGCTTAGAGAATAACAAAGTAAATCCTATCCTGAGTTATAAATTTAATAATAGAAACAAATTTACCTATGTGGGCAACCCTGACATATTTTTTGATCTGAATAAGAGCCACCTAAAATTTTACTCATTATTTGATCCTGAGATAAAGCTTTGAGTGCTTCATCTAAACTTTCTACAAGACTCATAAAGAATTCTACTGCATCTTGCTGTTCTCGTAAATTAACTGGTTCACCTTGTAGTCTAAAAATGAATAAAAATAAAAAATATGGAACTTTTTAATAATTACAATTGTTCAAATTACACACAAAACAAATTTAAATAGAAGTTTATATAGAGTGATTTTTTATCACAATCCACTCAATTACTCACAGAATAAAAATAATTTAAACATTTTTTTTTGGATACCTTTAGTAACATATTATTCTTGAATTATTAGCTATGTAAAAGCTATGTTTTTTAAGTTCATCCCTTATGCCTTGTAAGGATGTCATGTTAACTTTATTCCTTTATTAGATATAAAACTTTAAAGCTTCATTTTTTTTAATTAACATACATGTATAATATATGAGAGGTTAAAAATAAAAGGTAGCTAATTATTTTTTTATAATGTCACCATTCGCAGATACACAGCATTTATTATCAATTATAACTTTATCAACAGATATAATAAAAATTGATCACTTGTGGCTAAATAATTAAGCAAAATTAAAACTATATTAAAAATATTATTAATTAAAAAAAACTAAAAAATATTAAACTCAAAGCCACAAAAAATTAATGAAAAGTCGCGGATACGTATTTTGGAAACAATGTTACCATTATCAACGCTAAACACATACTCATTTAAGTATTTATATTTTTTATAAATACACCAACTGAAAATACAGAAAACAAAATTGTTGATAGTCATAATTATAATAACATTTCTGTATTTGTGATAGGAACATCATAAAAAGCCAAGTAGCCTATTGCATTTGTAATAACTTGTATATTATACAGGAATATTTTAAAAATTTGAAACTTAAGTTTTATAACTCATAAACAAATAGTTATTTTAAAATTTAGGTTAAAGTTTTATTAAAATAAAACCTGAAATATTTTATTAAATTCAAAATATGTGTTCCCATTTGAAAAAACAAAGTTACATCCTTACAAGGCATATTGGATGAACTTAAAATGTATTACATGGCTAATAATTTAAAAAAAATGTTTATATTTTTTATGATTTTACTGATTAATTAACGCTTAATTTTTAATTATTAACCATCTCAAAATCTAGATGTGATTGAAAAAATCTAAATTGAGATCTGGAATCTAAGTTGAGATTTCTTTAAAAATTATAAATAACAAATACTTTTTTTATTATTTGTTGTCCTGTGGTTATGATTTATCATAATAATCTTTTTTTCAGCTCATCACATCAAGAATTGTTTAAAATAACCAGTAAACATCCTAATATATAATAAAAATTGATCACTTGTTTTAATATTACTTAACATCCTAAAATTATTTTAAAGGATGTCAAAAATAATGCAATCTTCGGGACATCAAAATCTTAAATATAGCTCTTATTTTATAACTTGAAAAGAGTAAATTAATGTTAAACAATTAATCACAACTAAAAGTGTTTTATCAAATATTTTTGAATGACACTCAAACATAAGAGAATAATATCTGACTAAAACAAAATTAATTTAGACAAATCTATATTGTTTATTTATAATTAAGATTGATAGATGCAAATTGTATAATGTATATTAAATTTTATCATACTTAAAAAAAAAAAATTATTAGTACACAAAAAATATATAACTTGAAGTTTTTTATTATTTTACTTATAGAATTTGTTTACACAATATTATATTAAAATTATTATCATTATTATATTATAATAGTGGTGTAGCCTATACTACTTTATTGGTTATAATATTTATCTCCAGAATGAAATTATGAGCAAAAAAGTCCTCAATATGGGTCAATAGACTTTTGAATAAGGATGAATAATGAAAACTATTGCATTTAAATATACATAATTTATACATAGATTGATAAAAAAGTAAATACTAATGATAATTTAATTATACATTTGATTAGCATAACAATTATTTAGACTTTAGTTAGTTTAATATGATAGAATACTTACTTAAAATGCTTCCACAAACCTCTAGGAATATAATATTGGACTTTACTAAATGCCAAATGGCCAAATATAGCCTGAACTTGTTTTAATATCCCAACATTGTATTCTTTGCGGGACACCTCAAATTTATTGCGATCTTCTACAATATCCAATTGAGACTACAGAAATGTATTAATTATTAGTTATCTATTTCATTCAGAATTAATTTTATAAATCATAATAATAATAATAAGTATTTACATCATTATCGTTTCTGTCATCTGCATTATATTCTTCATTAGAATCAATAGCTGCACCATGAGCTGACAAAATACCTAATCTTATTGGATGTACCATATATAACTGTTGTAGCACAGAATTCATATAACATGTAGCGCCAGCATTTTTTAAACCAACAAAACCACGAGCAGTCCTAGCACCCATCATTGGTAAATAATCCCACTCAATTAACGGTTCTTCATGTTCTGAAAAATAAAAAATGAAAAGCTTATATTTTATATAACATACTTCAATTATTATTAAACTGAACTATACAAAATTAGCAAGTAAAAATAAAATGTATTAACCTTAATAAATCTAATTTAGTGGCTTGATAGGTAAGATGAAATTTTTAAACTATATAGACTTATTATTAATAAAACTTATCGCTAAAGAAAAATTTGTTACAAATAACGAAATAACCTAATGGAACAACTGCTATATGGTAACTGTGTCTATCAATCAAGGCACTAAAAAAAAACAAGTATATTACCTGAATAAAAATATTGATTTAGAATATCAACAGTTAATTTTAAATTTTTAACACAGCCAACACATAATGAAATAATAAGATCAAAAGCTGCATTTGTGGAATTTGGAGATTTACACACTGGTGTAACCTCAATGTCATCAAAATCAATAGTTTGTTGCTTAGTCATATCTTCCATTAATTTAGAAGCTGGAAAAATAAAGTCTTCAAGTAATTCTTTTATTAGCATGGTACCATTCATCACATCAGAACCAATTTCTTCACGTATTTCTATGCTAATCATTTGAACTAGCTCTTTTGTAATATTTAAGTGACCTTCAAGAATAACTTCATCAACACCACTATCATCTTCTTCAATTTTTATTTTATCTCTTAAATCTTTCAACCATTTAATTTCATTATTTAATATCTCTTCAAAATCTGGCACTAAAATTCTTTCATGACTAGCATAATTTAATAGATATGTTAAAACCTAGAATAAAAGCATATTATATAAGTTATATATTGTATATTTAAGTTAAATTGACTTTTTTTTGTCTTACATGGAAATATTCATAAGAATTTTGAGCAAATTTTAATACTGTGTTATTTAGAACAGAGAACATTAGAGAAATAGTTGATATTAAAGGCCTAGTATTACTACTAAATTTAACTATTAATAAAAACTGTTCAGCTGCTGAACACCGGATTTGCCTAAAAATGATATAATTAATTGTTAATATAATTTTTGATGTCTTTTTAATGTAGAAAATTTGTAAAATAATTAAAGTACAGCACCTATTATTGGTTAAAAGTATTAAATCAATATAAAAAGTTTTCCATTCAATTTCATCTACTAGTTCATTAAAATATTCAGGTTTTAAAAACAGGCATAATGTAAGAACTTCTAATGCTTCTTTACACACTGAAAATTATATTTAACAATTACTTTTAAAAATGAAGCAGATAAATATTAAATTTATTACAACATACCCCACACATCTTCCATTTCTAAAAGTTTTCCATTTAAATGATGGTCGTTGTTTAAAGGATCACCACAATTTTTCTGTTGAACACCGGACATTAACCAAGATAACTTAATAATATTCCAAATCATATCCAATGTAGGAATAAATTTTAACAAAGATTTATTGATAGCCAACTGCAATGTTTCTAGAGACTCGCAACCAATAGCTATTCTATCAATGTATCTACGCGCTAATTTTAAGGTAACACTACGTAACATGTACTCAACATTTGGATTGGGTACAAGGTTGAATGCTTCTTTCATAAGAGTTAATGATTCTTCACTTTGATCAAGAACTTCAATACCTTTGTATAAACATTCATCAGAGTCTGAAGAATTTATAATCAATCCTGGAGATTGATAAAGTTGTGTGATAACTTGTCCCATTACACATAAAATAAGTCTACTAATCTTTAGAATAACCAAGTTAATTGATCTAAAATATACACAAGCAGTTTATTAAACAAAAGCCATGTGACAACAATGAAATCATTTACCTTTTGGTACTTTGGTCTTTAGCTATATTACATTTGTTTGATGTTAATAAATGAATAATTTGGGAAGCATGATCGCTGGTAATAAAATTAGTTTGAAATTCTAAAGTTTTATCTGACATTGGATCAATAGAAGGCAACAGCATTGAATATAATACCTGATAATTTTATAAACATATGAAATATTGAGTATGCAATAAACCTACTAAGGCAAAATAATTTTTTTTTAAGTAATATTCTTCAATAAAAAAAATTAGAGCTTCATAAATTAAAAAAAAAGTATTGATATAAAAATAGTATACTATTATTGGTTAGATAAATTTAAAGGTAAAAAATGTTGTTTTTTACCATTGTCCAAGATTATCTTAGTTAAAAAAATATGACATAGTATCCAGGGAAGATGTAAGTAACAGTAGAACCCATCTAAAGGAAATGTGTTCAGAATACATTTCAATGTGCCCATTTGAAAGTTAAAGTAAATATGTACCACTAGTAAAATTTTATTATTTTATTTTAAATAATTTTATTGGTTCAGCTAATTTAATTATAATATAGATGCTCTAATACAAAGTATACTTGATAATAATTGCATGATTATAAAAATCAAATACTCACTTCCAAATTATAAAGATTTTGTGATGGTGAATTGGAAAGATAAATATTATCAACTGATACATTTGAATTTTCAATAGTAGATTTAGTATGGTTTGAAAAAAAAGACTAAAACAAATATAAAAATATGTGAACATTTTATTAGTTTATCTATAACCCTTAAGAACTAAGACAACCTAAATCCATCAAATAGAAATATATCTCATTTAGCTAATTCTAAAAAATATAGCCTTAAGAATTTTTACTATGATATTTAGTCAAAAATGTGAATTAGAAACAAACCAATCAAAAAGCATTTTTTTGGAAAACTCAAGTTTCTATCAATATTTCGAAAATTCTACAAACAAATATACATGATTCAATGATACTGAATGTACTTAAAACAATTTTGCTAACATTATCATCTCAATCTTACAAATCATTATACATGTTTAATCAAAGACTTCTTCATCCTACATTATCTATGTAACATTAATAAACATTAAAACTATTGCTTAATGCATGTATATTTTACGTTTTATAATCTTCAGATTTCTCAAGGGTACACAAGTCTTTGAACCTAACACTAGGCTAACTAAAATGTAATTATTATATGAACACCTTAATTTTCTGAGAAATTTCAATGAAGTAGTAAAAATATAATTAATTCCAAATAAAAATAAATAAAGAAATAATTATATCTCATTAATACTGTTGTTAATATTTATATTCAAGAAAAATTTGAACTTTTTTTTTTTTTTTGAGAAATTTTGAAAAAACTTGAGCTATTAAATTGAATTGAATTGAATTAAAAAAAACTATTAAATATCTTAGTTACTATTAAGATATTGAATTAATAGTACTTTAATTTTTTTTACAGTAGATTCTGCAGGTGGTATTAGCTTTAATATACATCTGGCAGCCTCTCTAAGTTGTTGATTTTCAATTTCAATGCCCCTGTCAGAAACTTGAAGGAAAAAATGAACATACTTTGGGTTTTCAGAGATTATCTATAAAAATAATTTTTTTTTGTTTATAAAATTCATATTTTTTTAACCATAAAATTAATTTATAAATCAATTTTATTTCATTAAAGCAGAATTCAATTTCAGAAAAAAAACTTCTATCTACTTACCACAGTAGGCAAATAACTTTCTGCTTCCATACTCAAACTATAGTCATAAAGAGGTTGATTATTAGTAATAGAGCTATCTGAACTACTATCAGGTGAACTAGTTAAATTAGTACTAGCAGTCATGAGTCTTGCATTTAAAAACTGAAAAAAACTCTTATTTTAGTATATGTTAATGAAAAATTGACAAATAAGATTTTAATGAAAATTAAGTACTAACAAAGATAAATCTAAATATCCTTTGTTAAGTTTTAGATAAACATAAATTATTTTGGTATTGTAACAATTATACTATTAATATTTTAAAATATCACTGTAATTTACCCTAATATAGCATTCATTATATTAAATATATAAATGATAACAAAAATTATTAATCTTAACTTAAAAAGATTAGAGTGAAAATAGATAACTGAATAAAAATATGAAATAGAATTAAAATAGAACATACTCAGTTCTATAGTAATATGCTTTAATAAACAGTATCTAAGATAGCATATGAGGGATACAAGAAAAAACTTTCATTTAAAAAAATAAAAAATTAATTTTTGTTTTTATTATGAAATTAAATAGAAAATTATAATTTTTTTTTGTTTTCTTTTAATATTTACAGAAATAGATTACTATACTACTAGGGTCGAATTTAGGAATTGGGTTTACAATATTGTTTAATGATTTTTTTATGATTAATATTCTATATATTTAATGAAACGAAAAATATATGTAGATATCCTTGCAAAAAAATCATAATTTCTTTTTAAATACTTAATAGTTTATGATAAAAATTTAAGAATTTATCAAATAAAAAATATTTGAATACTTAAAATACAAATTATGGAGATTATGTTTTTTTCAATGTTTGTAAAAAAAATTTTTTATTAAAATAAATATAATTTTTAATCAAAAATGTTTTAAAATTATAATATAATTTTAAAGAACACAGATTCTCCAGAGTATGATCAAATAAAAAAATTATAAGTACCCATTGCTATGTTTCAATTATTTATACATTTTTCAAAAAATTATGCTAATTTCTATAACTTTATGTATTAATATAAAACAAAAACTGGTAAAAACTGTATACATGTCTTGCCAATGATAACATAGATTAATTTTCAATATTTAAATTGATGTATTTTATCATATCCAGTTGCATATTAAACAATTGTTATAAGAAGTAATGAGTAAGTAAGAAAAAAGATAAATTTTTACAAATAAAGAGAACAATAGATATTTGTTTCCTTACTTACTAAACACCAATATATCAGTAGTGAAGAACACAATTTAATATAATAATAATAATAATAAAAAAAAAAAAATTATTAACCTTAATAAGTTGGGCTAGGAATTAAATGCATTTAATTTTGTTAAGTTATTTTAAACACAATTGTATACATTTTTATTTATTGACTTGATAATCGTTATATGTTATTACTGAGTTTATAGTTTTATGGAATAGGTTTATTCCCCCTTAAAACGAATATTTTTTCAACACTTCTATATAATTTTATGACAATGTTACACAAACTTAGGACCCTAAAAACAAAATGTATAAATGCCTATAATTCCGAGCCCTATTAATAACGATACAAAATTTAAAATAAATCTCCAGTAATATTTTAAAGTACATTCACACATTTGTATACTTAACCTTTTTTTTTTTTACACAACCGGCATTATTGTGGACCGCCCTGGAACTGCCGTGAGGCATTACTTCAGGGCAGCCCACGCCATCTATAACTCACACCATCAGGTTGTGAATCAGCCCAAAATTATTCAAGAGCTGATTCGCAACATGGGTGTATATTTAATCCAAGAATAAGTAAATTAAAATCAGATGGCTAGTTCCAAAGCAATTACTGTCTTAATTTTCCGAGTAAAACATAATTAATCATATTTAAGGTCCCCCCTAATAGCCTATATATACCCTAATGCAATAGAATTGAAACATGATATACACACACACCAAGGTATGATCACTACTAACTTAGCTTTGTAGGCAGCCAATATTTTTGTAAATATAAAGAAAAAAAGAATGACAAAATTATACTTGTGGGGCCCAAACTTTTATAAAGGCCTGGCATCCAGAGTCTCTACCCTTTCTTACCCAACTCTGAATACTACTACTTTTTTCCAGTACTCTAAATATTTTATATACTCTACTTAAAAGTTATTTGGTTATTTTCAAATTATATATAAAAAAATTAAAATTTAAGTATTTCAGAAATAATACCAATTTGTCACGAAATGGAAGCTCTCCAAGTAGTTTGTTGTCATCAAGTGTGTTGGTAAGGTCCATACTACTTCCAGGGAAAATATCCAGTTTAATATGTAGCACACCAGATATTGCTGTAATTGTTTCAGTACTTCTTAGTCTTTTTAAGAGCTGTCTTCTGACACATGATATATTATCATTGCTGTGCATGCTTATTTCATGATCATCTACAAGTGATCTGTTAGCATTTGTTAAACGAACAATCACAGTAATATGTTTACCTCGACAAGCACTGAAAAAAAGTATGAAGTAAAATATGACACTTAAAGTGTTACATTTTAAAATAATACAAACCGATGTAAAGGTAATAAAGAACGGTCTCCCCCAAAAGAAGTATCACATTCACTTAAATATTCATAGAGAACTTTCATAACCCTGATCATTTTAGTAGCTTCTTTATTTCTTTCCCTAATATCATCTTTTGTCATTGATGCTTTGGAAAGAATACTAACAGTGTCAAAATGAGCTCTTAATCTTTCTAAACATTCAGCTACAAAAGTTTGATGAAATTCTAATGGGTTTGCTTGGAGCTTTGGGGCTAAATTTGTATTGACTTCCTTAAGTAAATCAATTGCATGGGATGCAATTTCTTCATTACAGTTTGTCACTACTTTCCAAAGATAATCTACTCCAATTAAATCAATATTTTCCATTTGATAAATACGTCTCTTTTTAAGTAATTTTCCTTCCTTTACATTAACAGCTTTGAAAAATCGTTCCAAACATCTAAAAAAATAGATAATAATTTTATAATTGACTTATTTTTTAAAATTTATTTTTATATTCTTTTCAGTTAGTATTTTAATTATTGTAATAGATAAAATTGTAAATGTAACAGAATGTACAGGAAAAATTGTATAGCTGAGCAGACTATAATTAAATCCAAATACTGTACAACAAGACTCAAAGTAATCTAAATTAAATTATAATGGTAGACCATTATATTAATATGGGTTATATATATAATGTTCATAATTAAATTAATATTTATTTATTTATCAGTCTTTAAAAAAAAATATTTTATTTATTAGAAAAAAAATTAATGGTGCTATTATTTATTGAGATTATTAAAAAACAGAATTTATTGTTAAGTTCTGTTTTATCACAATACCAACATTTTATGTTATACAATGTTGGAATACAACAATATGTTATATTAAATAATATGTTATATAAAAATTGAATAATTTTTTCATACTTAATTCCATTTTCAGTAAGTAGAGTTGGATCTAGTTGCAAAAGATTATTTACAAAAAATTTAGTATTAATTGAAGGATCAATGTCAGGTTCTTCGCCCATCAGTTTAGAAAACCAACGAAAACATGCTTCCCTATCAGCTAGAAATACAGCTTTTTCTGCTAATGATACCCATACTTGATGAGCTTGTTCAGCACACAACCACAAGTTACCATCCTAAGTTATCAAGAATATATAATACACATTAATATTAATTTTAAAAAAATATTATAATTTTTAACAAATTAATACCTTTAAGCAAAATTTTAAGAAATGTAGTCTCTCTTGTACTTGTTGTAAATGACAGTACCGTCCATCAGGATAATATTTGGCTGGATCCAAATTAATACTGTCTAAAAGTTGAATATAAGGTTGAACATGAATTTATTTTCATTTTAACCGATGCAAAAAATTTTTAATTAATACAGATCTAAAAATAGTTTTAGCAAATTACCTTGAGCAACTATCCTTACATCATCCATATATTTAGACAAATTGTCTGCAACTAATGAAACAATAGTATGTTGAGTCTGAAGTCTTGTGATAATTTCTTGTCTAAAAATTAAATATAATTTTAGGTTAATTAAACAATACTTAAATAGCCTATAAAAAATGATCAATTTTATCAACCTTTTAGCTTCAATGTGAAGCTGAGAAGGTATTAATTTTACAATAATGTGTTTTTTTTGTCTGTTACCACTTTTTCTCAGTTCTCACCGAACTGATTTCTTTCGATGATATGACAAACGATCACAAATCGTATTTAGTCGAAGACATTAAACTCAAAAATTTCCCTCATTCCCCGTAAATGGTGGAAATCTCCATATCATTTGATATATTTTTTTTATAAATCTGATCCTTTACCTGCCCACAAGGGGGATTTAAAATGACAACTTTTTCATCATAACTTTTGAAAGTGTTCTGGAAATACTGACACTTTTATATATACCTTAAATTAATGCTTATGTAATATACTTTATTATGGAAAAATAAAATTCGGACTTTACTTTGACTTCACAATAAAAATGGCTACCGTATGTTATTTTTGTGTTAAAAATCTCAATTTTATATTTTACATATAATACTTTATAATGCTATAACTTTGGGAAAAATTTTTGGATTAATACAATTTTTTTATGAGAAATATTATTTATATACCTCTTTTATTCGACATACATTTTTTTTTAAGTCAGATCATTTCCCTATATACAAGGGGAATTCAAAACTAAAAAATTCATATAGAAAGTAGAACTTTTTAACTTAATTTTTTAAAGTGTTCCGGAAATAATAACATTTTTATATATATCTTAAATTAAAGCTTATGTAATATACTTTAATATTAAAAAAAAAATTTTTAGACTTTATTTTGTCTTCACGGTGAAAATAAACATTAAAGTTAAAAAAAAAGTTTATAAAAAATAAATAAAAAAAAGTAAAAATAGTATTCGTTATGATACAAAGTTAGTGAGTTCTGTTTTCATTGATTATAATAACAGAAAAATATGTCTTTAATTTTGATTTAATTAATTTATACTTAACAATTTTAATAGAAACCTAAATTTACTTTAATTTTTAGAACCAATATATACTTAAATTATTAATTAATTAATTCAATTCCAAAATAAATTTAGATTTTAAATTTGCTTTTTAAACATGTGTTCCATAGAGTTTACAAGAGTTTGTAAAGAAAAAATTAACAATCATTTAACTAAACTTTAAATTACACTTACCGATACAAAGTATGAGTATGAGTTTGGTGAGCACCAACTGGAGTTGTATCATACAACATACAAATATCTCTCATATGCTTTAATACTGGAAGAACCCACGAACTATTACTTTTTAATTCATCAACACATTTGTCAAGCCATGCCGTTTTTTGAGCATCACGATCCTATATATCATTGAAATAACATAATTAAATCTAATAAAATAAAAACTAAGGCAAATAAAAATTTTTTTTTTTTGTGTAGGAGTAAAAATCATTTTATTTATAATAAATATATTTTTTATGTAAAGCCAGAAATTTTTAGTGAATTAAATAATAAACACACGAGGGCTAAACAAATGTTGCAACAGGTTAACTATTATATCTATGAACAATCTTCCTCCGACATGTCTTATTTTTTAAGTTTTTACTGTAATTACTACACTTTGACACCTGTCTTTATCTTGAGTTGCTTCTCTTCAATTTTCAAATCCTAGGGCTTTTAGATTTTGGCCGCTTTGAAGTAATAATGCCTAACCGTAGTTCTAGAGTGACCTACATTTCACATTCCTATAAAAATCCGTTCCTACCAATATCCCATTACTGATAAATATTTTATTATAGAATACTATTCCTAACAAATAATTTTCTTAATTCATACGCGTCTCCTAAACACATTGAACTATTTACTTGCAAAGCTGAGAAAGTATTGGTTTTTCTTACTTGAGAACAGCTATAATCTAATATTTTGACATGTGCAGACAAGGCTTGATCAATTATTTCAGTAGATACATCTTCTCCATGTGCTAAGTTCCAAAACAACATTAACACCTATAAAATAATTTAATATTAATTATAAAATAAGTTATATTTATTTAGCTTAGATAATTACTTTGTGAGCCATTACTCCATCTTTATCATCTTCTGCTAATCGTCTGATTAATTCTAATAACTTCTCTCTTTGCTTTTTATTAGCATTGGTCCAATTAGCCTAAAATGAATAAAATTACATATATATTGATTACTTTACAATTAAAAGAACAGATATTACATGAAAACATTCAAATAGATGGTCCAACTGTTCAGGAGAAAAATCCCAAGCTAATTTTGCCAATAAATCATGGACATTTTTGACAATTGCATCATGTTTACCAGCCTGGGCAGCCCATATTGCATCTAAATCACTCAAAGATAATGCTTGCTCTTTAATAACAAATCGTATAATTTTTTCTAATTTTTCAACATATTGAGGTTGATGAAGCGAATCCCGTAGAACAATTTCTAGTACATTATTTTCTTTAATCCATTTCTACTCAAAATCAAATTTTATGAAAATGATAAAAAATTAAGAAGATAAAAATAAGTAAATAATATACTTTGATAAAATACTTTTTTAAATACTCTAGGAATACTTTTTTTGAATCATTAAATCAAATATAAAAATTATTTTATATTAAAAATTGGTATTTATAATCAAATAACTCAAAATTTTTGAGTATTGAAAATTATATAAACTTCATGATTTAGGTATATTGAAAAATCTTTTTAGGTTAAATAATGATTTTAAAAAGTATTTCTGAATTATTTAGGTAAGTATTCTACTAAAATATAATAATTAAAAATTATAAATTTTTAAAAATTTACAGCCATTCTTTCGGGAGTAAGATATTCTTCATCATGATCTACGTGTCTATGTGGTGTATATGTCACATTAGTAATTACTTTGTTTACTTCATTTAAAGCATTCATTTTACCATTAAATGAAGAAATTTGTAATAAACTAAAAAATAACAATAAAAATACCTCATCAGTTTAGCTACTAGATTTGCTTTTATAATATCTAATGATTAAACAATAATAAAAATAATGTTACCGAAGTATCATTTTCAGTCTAAATATTTCTAATTGTTTAATCAAATTATCCTGTTTGGGTACTTTGGTAGCTAATTGTTTACAAGCTTTGATAATAGTGGATATGGCATCATTTTTTCCCTCATTTTTTGTTTCCTTTTTTAATTCATCATCAGTTAACACATCCAAAATGCTTGGTATTTGTTCCTAAATAATTAAATTAATTACTCATAAAAAAAAATTAACATCTAAAAATATTTCAAATTATAAACATACCACTATTGGCATTAGGTATTTTAAAATTGTATTTTCAGTTAAAAGTTCTGAACAGCTTCCAAATGGTTTTATTAAACCAGAAATAATAGGTATTGATAGAGTTTCGTGGCATTCAAACCGATTAACTAACTTTTGAAACCCTCCTAAAATTCCAAACCTAAATTTAAATGCAAAATATTTAAAAAATAATAATAAAAATAAGAAAGATTGTAAATGAACATACTTATTTAATAAATCTACAAGCCATCCTCTAGGAGCCCTAGAATCTGGTGGAGTTCTGGCAAATAAATCATTTGAAGGTATTTCTGCAGTAGAATACTCTGAATGTCTGCCACAGTTAAATAAATGAAACCTAGGTACAGAAAATTTTAAAAACTAGTTCATACACAAGTGTTAAAAATAAAAATGTATACTTGTTAATTGGATTAAATAACATTCCTAGAATATCAACAAATGGAAAATTATCATCGTCAAGTTTTAATACTAAAAGTTCTACAAGTTTTATACAATTATTCATTATACATTGTTGGATATTTGACTTCCAGCTGTTAACAGCATCATCAGTTAATATTCTTGTAAAAGATAGTACCATAGCATCACGAAAAAACTTTTGACATTCTTCATGATTGGTATCTAATCTTCTTTTACTAAACTCAATTGATATATTTAGAAGAGTTAATAACTCTTGGTCAGGTAACACAGGAACAATCCATCGTTGACTGTGAATTTTTTCCTCTAGGTTAGTCAATTTTGTAGATGGAAAAACAAGTTCTTCCTCTGCATCATCTTCATTTTCTAAATTTTCATCTTCACGTTCAGTAATACTTGTATTAGAATCATTTATTTCATTTGATGATTGTTCTTGAACTTGGTGTGTCTCAACTGTATGAGGTGGCAAAACATTAATGTTAGACAGTACATTGTGTATTTGAGTTTGTTGTGGAACATTCTAAATTAAAAAGTTATTATGTCATTAAATTAATATACAGATGATTTTAAAAAATATACTTACTGGAACATTAGTTTGACTATCAGTCGAATCTAATCCGACTGTTTGTCCACGAGTCACAATAGTCATCCTGAAATAGTAAACAAACAGCCAAAATTAATTTCTTTAATTAATTATGTGACAAAATAAGTAAATTTCTAGTTTATTCAGAAAGGAATTTTTAATCATACTCATATATTTTTTATTAAATTACTGCACTTAAAATTTAACATTATTTATTATTAGTTCAGTTAACAGGAGAACTTTAATTTTGATAACAAATTTTAAAATTACATAAATTTAAAAAAAAGTTGAAATGTTAAGACAAAATTAGAATGCTTTATCCATAATTAGAGAACCAAAACTTTTGATTAAGGATGAATTTAAATTGTATCTCTGACATAATACTTACGGGATGGTAAAATAATTGCACGAGTTAGGCGACTGTACATTCACAAGCACTGCCGGTCCTTTTACGTGTTTTGATAAATTGTTCTTATTGATTAATTATATCCACGGAATTATAATGACAATTCAACTACAATAATTATATATAAAATACTATCTTTTATGCAACATTAAAGAGTATTTAGCAAACTCCAATGCGACAAAAATGATTGTTATATTTAAAATATACTTCTATACTATTGCATTAAAATAATAATAAATTAATGTCCAGTAAAATGTCCATATAGACAGTTCAGTAATAAAATAGTATTTAAAAAAGTATAGAAATTAAAAATGTTACTCGTTTTTAAATAAATTAATCATTAATAGATTAATGCAATTAAATTTTGTGAACAAATTTCGATAAAAAATAAAAATTGTATCACGCATAGTGAGGGAGTGAGACAGAATAAGAGGGTGAAAGAGAGTGAGGAAAATACTGATAGACATAGTTGATGATGTGATGGTTGAGGGAACTGGGGTGCGGGCGGGCAAGCAAGAGGACGGCATGAACAGAAGATAGAAAAATCAAACACAAAACAACTCTACCGCCCAGCTGATTGTCTCAAAGACCTTGGAGAGATGTCGCTATATGCCGCGTGTGATAAAAATTATTTCTGTTCGTTGCTTGATAATAATTATCACTCCAATGTCTGAATAATGTTGTGTAACTATAAATAATTTCAAAAGTACGTAATTTTATAAAAGTAATAAAATAAATAATATTTGTTATCTTAGCTATAAACTATTATAATGATCGATAAAATTGTTAAATAATTTATTTACAACAAATTACTAAGCTGGTGTATCTTTTACACGTTATATTTTTATTAGATTATCTCTACTATGATAGTTCTGTATGATATTAATACCTAACTTTCAATTTTTTAATTATTATTATACAATTTAAGATTAACAATGTAAAGTAAAACTTCAACGATACTTAATTAATTATGTGATACTGAAGTACACTAGTCGTGTAAAAAACATCGAAACTATAATTTAATGGTGTCCAAATCAAAAAGGTAAATGCGATTTTAGTCAAATTAATTTTAATTCTCTGTTAGTAGATATAGAGAAATGTCTAGTACTACTTTTTATGTTTTATAAAATTTTGCAGTAAAAAAAAATCGTTGGTGGGACCCTTGGTAATTGCATTATTTGCTTTACTCTCGGAGGAGTCTCAGAGATTACATTTATATACCAAAATTCTATGTTGTCAATTTGAGTCCGAAGACACAGTTTATGAGGACTAATAACTGTTGTGCTATGCCAATGGGCTAAGCTTCTGAACATTCAAAATGATTGAAACCACTTTTAACCCTTACTTATCCCATCATTTATAATGACATCTATGTCATGCGTACCGAAACAACATTTGTACCAAAAATAAGAATCGTATATTTTTAATTTTTTAAAACTGTATGTTTATCATGTTTCTGCGTTTAGATCCTTTCTATTCTAGTACTAATACTCTTCTTAGAATAGATATTTTCAAAAAAAGTGTACTTTAAGAAGGATAAATGCTAATTTTACCACAAAATATCGTACCGATCTAAATATTAAAAAAAAAAAAAACCCCAGCACAGTGGTGACGTGGCATAGTTGGATCAAGTATTATGATATCTGACAGTGATTAAAATCACTATAAAAAAAAAAAAAACGATACGATGCAAATCTTTAGATAGTGTTTAATTTTAAAAATGGTGGATTATTCCAAAAGCTACATGATCTGCTAGTTCCTTATTAATATCCTCATTAAGATAAAGTATGTCAAATGAAAAAGGGATTATAAAAAAATATTATTTCTCATAAAAAAAATTATGTTGATCCATACATTTTTCAAAAAGTTTTAGCATATTAAAGTTAAAAATGTAAAATACAAAATCGAAAATTTTCACACAAAATAGCATTTGGTAGTCATTTTCACCGTGAAGATAAAATAGTCCGAGAAATTTTTTTTTTCCATGATAAAGTATATTACATTAGCTTTAATTTAAGATATATATAAAAGTGTCAGACTTTCAGGAACATTTTCAAAAGTCAAGTTGAAAAAATTAATTTTTTGTGAAATAGTTGTCATTTTAAATCCCCCCTGTGGGCAGGTAAAGGGTCAGATATATAAATAAAATATACCAATTGAAAGGTAATGATATCATGCATCTTTATAAAAAAAATTATATTGATTTGGTTATTTTTAAAAAAGTTATGGCAATTTTAAGTAAAAAAAATTGAAAAAATTTTTAAATTTGTAATTTTTTTGAAGGTTTCCCCCATTTACGGGGAACGAGGAAATTTTTTTCAATTTTTGAGAGTAATGTCTTCGACTAGATACAATTTGTGATCTTTTGACGTATCATTGAAAGAAATCGGTTCGGTGAGAGCTGAGAAAAAGTGGTAACAGACACAAAAAAAAACACATCATAGTAAAACCAATACCTTCGCATCGAAGCTAAAACTAGTTTTAGGAATTTCATAACTTAGAGTCAATTTACAGAAATCTCGTAGAAAAATAAATAAGTGTATTTATGATTAGGAACACGCAAATAAATCGATATTTTTTATATATTGGTAAATAATATGTACCAACTGTCGATATTTTGAGTTGAATACTTAAATAATTAATTTATTCACATATCGTAAACATAGAAAATATAACATACTATCATTACTCAGAATAATATTATTTTAAGAAAAGAAGTGTTGAATGTATGTAAGAAAAAGCTAATAACGAATAATTTATTCTTTACTAGTGTCTTGCATAGATTTATGATTAAGATACAAAGGCTTATCATTATGACGGAACATTCGATCTGATGATGTGTATAAAATAGGCGAAGTATAATCCGAGAATGATTGTAATAAAATTATTAACTTTTTCCAATTGAATGTTCTCAGAGCATGGTTGTTTTTCTCACTCTTAAATGATATATATAATTTATTCTATCTCTATTAATTCGATTTCCACAACCAGGCCTACTACATTTACTAACGGAAAATGATCCGTCTAAATGACATTTACATTGATCGTTTTCTATAACTGTAATCTAGATATATAAGTCTATGCTAAGAGATAACTACGAACTAAAATAAAATAATAATTATCTTAATTCTTGAAGATAATTCAAGGTTAATAAATTAATTATTTTATCTAAAAAACACGATCTAAGTTATCTTCCATCTTTGTGTTAAGAACCAAAACGAAGTTTTGTTCCACAAAATTTTTATTCCAATTAACATTTTTCCCGAAAATTTGTTGGAGCGAATCATCTTTGAAACAAATAGTTCGTATAACAAAATATAAATGTAATTTAATTAATACGGTACAAATGTTTTGGAGTAAAAGACTTTTAGAACAAATGTTAAATTGAACTTAATAGTAACGGTAAAAAGCTAAAATTATATTCAACGTAGTTTTCCGAAAATATTAATTCCTACATACAATATCCGAGGTCGGATATGATATTTGGATGGACTGATATTTGATAAAATAAATACAATAAAGTAAAGTAAATAGTTAATAAAATAAATATGAACATTCATATAATCATTCCCAAATCTCAAATATCAGTCTACCTAATTAAAAATAATCAATAAATTTATCGCCGTTTTTAAAATAGTTTTTCCATCTGTTGAAAACGGCTGTTTGAATTAGTCGCTCAAATGGTGTATAGAAAACTAAATGTATTGCTATTAATAGACCTTCCGGACTGTCTTCTTTTTCTATTTGTTATTTATCTCCCATTAGTATTGTACTTTATTAAATGTATCATGTTCATTATATCGCTTAGTCTATTTTTTGTGCACATTATATAATCATTACTTTTATTACATTATTGTTGAAATTGATTTTTGATCTATTTTTAAGAGAAATTGTTATGTGTATATGACAGTTTAAAGTAATCCTTTTATAATTTATTTGAGACTGAATATATGTTGTAATTTACAATAATTAAATTATAGTTGAATACCAAATTACATAAGACTTCCGTCCTCATACAAAAATCAACAAATTTGATAATTTATAGCAAACAATTTTACTATTATTAGTAAATTATTTTAACTTTAAACTAAATTTTAATTTAAATAAATAGTTGGTCTTCTGTAATGTAATAATTTTAATTATTGTTACAATGAAATGTCTGTTATCTTTAATCAAATTTGTAATTTTTTTATTATTGAAATAGTTTTTTTTTTTTGATCCGTTTATAAATGAAGAATGTAAAATTTCAATTTATTTTTAATAATATTTAGTCAATTTGTTTATTAACTAAAGCTAGTCTAAGAAAAAATTGTTTTGGTCTTTAGAACTTACGTATCCTCTAGCTCAAAACACTTTTTGGGTCTATGGTTTAACCCCCTAAATATTTTCTCAAACAGTGTTACTTTTAGAAATTCTCAATGGAAGAGACTGGCTTTGGTTAAGGTTAGCATTTATAAGTTTGATCGGAGTAGAAAATAACCTTGAACCGACCTGTAATTTTTTTATGAGAATAGTGTCATGAACATATTTTGGAATTTGTTTAGATATTTTTCACTTTGTTTTAAAAAGTGCACTCAGAAGAAAAAATGACCATACGTGTTTATAGAAGAATAACAATTTTCGACCGTTGTATGATTTTTTACAATAAATAAATATGTAATAAAACAATACATCTAAAATCTTCATTTAGAGAAATTGAAGTCCTTTAAATTCTGCCTACAAAAATATCTTAATTAATGTTACTAAATTATTCATTATTCATTATACACTACCCCTAAATCGTTTATGATGAATATAAATATAATTATATTTTGAAATTGTGAGACTAACACTAGTCTAGCTTTATTATTAGCGTTTATTATGGAGAGGGACCATTTAGGCCTCCTGTAGGAAGTATATGTTAACTATGTATCTGAGAATTTTCGAATCAGAGGATTAACTATCTTAATTAAATTAATAAATTATTATTTTTCTAATAGTTTTCTAATAAAGTGGTAATAACTACGTTACGTGATATTTAATAACTTTATATTTAACAGGGCTAAAAACACAGAAAATTGAAAAGTTAATAAAGAACAGTAAAATGTATCCATGCATTTTCTTCTAGTGAATCATAAATATTTGGACATAACATTTATGATTTGTTGTTAGTAGACACATTTACCTTATCTCACCTTAGTAACTATTTATTTCTACTATTAAAATATGGTGGTATTCTAAAATATCATAATTTGGCAATTCATTACACTTATCAGACTTTCATTTTACAGATTTTACTTGATTAAATCCTATGTATTAAAAAACTATAATAACGTTACTTCTTCAGTTATTTTTATTCGATGAACTTTGAGTTTATGACTTGTCTATAAAATAAGAGATAATTTTTTCCTAATGTCGTTGATTTTTAAATTCAAATTAAGTAAGTTTAGTAATGCTTTTCTATGTGCTAATTCCTATGAATTGATAAATCAACTATGGGTGTGTAGTTGGTACTGGTGTACGTGCACTTTGTCATCTCTACATATTCACTCAATGTATTGAAATGCTTGTAACTAAATTAATATTTATTTTATAGTTGTTATCAACCTATCAATATTTTATATAAGAAAAGAGTTAAAAAATTGTTATTTTAAAATTTCAGAAAAATTAAAAAATAAAATATTTTAACTTTTTGCTTATTTGAGACAAATTTTACAAAATATGTTATTAATATAGTCCAAAACTGTCAAAATGATTGAAAAAAGTAACAAAATATCTGTCCGATTAAAAGTTGTTAAATTTGTCAAAACATCGTGGACTACTATGTATAGTATTGAGAATAGTACAGCCCTTATTGCTCTAATTTACACAAAAAATAATACTTGAAAGATACCAATAAAAATCGATATTTCATGATAATATCGATTATCGTATTTTTTAGAAGTAATGTATTCATTTAACGATATATCGGTTTTTAAATAAATTTGTGCATTTCTATTTAAGACTAAGGTTATAAATATTATAATAATAATAATTAATAATGTATTATAATACATATAATGTATAATAATTAATAAGATTTATATTAATTTATAAACCTTGATTTATAATTTGTGATTCACTATTCTTAAAAGAAAATCATGATAAGAGATTTTAGATAGTGCAGCTGGATTAAAATTTCGTTGACATTTTTGGGGAATTAAGTCTAATTTTGGTGGAATATCATTAACGAAAATTAAAGGTAAATTATCGCTATGTTTCATGGAATATAAACATAATTTTGATATAAAAATAATTGTTGTTAATATAATTTAACGGTTTTGGTATTTGTAAGTAATCAATTTTGTTTAGATTAATGACCAGTGACAAACAGTGTTAATGATTATTCTTTTAAACTTACTTAGACTATTGACATAACTGTTCCAACATGATAAATATAATACGCCAATCATTATGTTAAAATATATTACAATTATTACATAGTTTAATGGTAGTGTAGTTTGTATGAAGGTGATACTTGTTTCTAAACAAAAAATACATATGTTAACATTTTTTTTCCCAAATTATGATCAATTCATTCATCAATAATTGTATTTAATAAAAATTTAATACTACTTTTTCAATATTTATATAAACTTAAATTTATTATGAGAATATTCTTGTTAAATTTATATTATTAGATTGACTATTAATATTCTTATTAAAAAATTACCATGTTAATTTTCTTCTCTTTAAATCAAATCAAATAAGTTCATAGTAGTATGTTTTCAATATTAAAAATGATTAAAAATGCATATGCATATTTTTTTTATCAGGCTATTCATTTTGTTGAAAATTTCAATGTTTTCATCTAATGGTGTTTGCTGCAGCTTTATTGTTCATATTTCTGGTTTGTGGGGGTGTAACAAAATTTCAAGACACTAATATACGTCCTGGAGAATTAACATCATCTGCCATTGATTATTTTTTATGTCGAATTTGTGGAAATGATTTGTCTCCGGTGTCAACGCTTATGCATATTGATTGTCCGGCTTCATTGAAATCTCGTACTACTCATCAGTTTGGAATTAAAGATATTAGAATTCACACTGTTCAAAACTCATTGCATTTAAAGTTTGATGTAATTATTTTAAAAAAGGCATTTTGTATTGGTAAAGGCAATGTAAGTTAATATTACATATTCACAACTTTGTTTGTTAATTTTTTAAATTTAGAATATAATTTAATTAATATTTTGTTTTTATGCATTAATAATTTCTTTTTTTTTTAATTTAGCTACACAGTCTTAATTTTGAAATCAATAATTATAGTTGAATAATTTTAATATTTAGGTTGAAACTGGGTTTTACTGTTTGAATTTTTCAATATTATTAGAACATTCTATATGTTTTAGATTTTTTATTGTTGCACAAAAGAATTTATTCAATAAATTCATAAATATATTTTAATAAATAATATTTTTAATTTATATTTATAAATCATTATTTTTTATAAATCTCACTTTAAATATTTCTATTTGAAAACAATTTTTTTATTTTAATTATATAAAAAAGTATTCAATAAGGGGTCGCCACAATAAAAATGTTGAGAAAATTGCTATAGATTATTAAATTAAATTTTCTTTTTTAGTATTCATTAGAAATGATGACTAATTTTTTTTAATGGTTTAACAAGATTTATTAAATCAGATTAAAAACAATTTTTTTTCATTCAAATTATATTATTATGTAATTTGTTTATTTATTTTAGTGGCAGTCTGATTTTTCTTGGTTCCCTGGTTATGTTTGGAAAGTTTGTGTTTGTGCTCATTGTGGACAACATATTGGATGGTAATTATTATTATTAATATTCATATCAAATAAAAAACTTTTAATGTTGGTTTAGTTTTATTTGAGTTTTAACAAATTAACTCATAAGTTTAAACCTCATCTAATTATTTAATAAATTTACTTTAAGGTAGAAACTTAAGTCATTCATAAAATTTTTGTTTATTACCAGAGCTTGGGACTTAATGCATTTATAAAATTTGTTTGAACTACTTCTGAGACATGTAACTTCGTAAAAAATTATAATAAGTATACACCAGTACCATAGGAATATTTTTTGGTTTATGGAAATATGATCCCCATATATCCTCCAAAACTAAATTTCTAATTAATATACACTGTTCAGTATTAAAAATACTAACGTAAATTTATTTATCATTGTTATATTTGGTATGACTAAAATAAACAAAATGTATAGTATAGGCATTATTTTTTTTTAATGATATCAGATACCCAAAATCATATAGTGATTACCTATTTTTAAATAATAACTTCTAGCTTTTTAACGCTTTTATTAGCTTTACCTGTATATTTGTTTGTAACTTTCCTTTTTTGTTTATTAGATTTATAAACATTTAAAGGTTCAAATTTTTTTGAGTTAATATAAATGTATAATACATAAGGGATTACAAGTATTGGTAGCTAATTGTTTTTTTATGACGATATTCACAGGTATATAGCCTTTATTATCAATGGTAGTAAGACACATTGTTGTGAGTTTATAAATACACTAACTGGCAATACAGAAATTATATCTATTGATAGTCATAATTGACAATAAACACTCCAAGTCTGTAACAGCTATGTCATAAAAAACTAAAAAGTAAAAAATAAATATAGTTTAAAAAAACATGCTTTTATAGGAAATTTATCTAAATTGTTAAAAATAATTTTTAAAATAAGCTTATAACAATAATGAACGAAAAATACTAGCATTACTATGAAAGAAGTGTGGGCAGTTTGTGCCATATTTTCATATATTGAGCGCCCGACACTTTTTTCACAATAATACTAGTATTTTTCGTTCATTATTGTTTTAAGCTTATTTTTAAAAATTGAGTTAAATGTGCTTTAAAAGTGTGTTTTTTTAAACTATATTTAATTAGTTAAAACGTTTAAACAATATCATAGAAGTAATCAATACTAAGTAATAAACTTTTTCTTTAATATGACTTCAATAGGTGGGAATATGATAAATCCTTTTTTCACTTTTTATAAAAGAAAATGTATAGATGTTTAAAATATATAACTTATTTATTCAAATGTTTAATTATTCAACTTCTATTAAATGTCTTTACAGGATGTTTGAACCTTTACATTTAGCAACAAAAGATAAAATTTACCCCTCTAAAGAAGGTTTTTATGCTACTATTGTTTCTAGTATTGTTAATGAAATTTGTAAGTATTGTAACTTTGTAAACAATTTAAAAGCTTTTTAAGAAATTTTTTATTAAGTTTATGAGATATTTAAATCTTATTTGATGTGTAGCAGGATTATATGATTTAGGAAACAAAATTTTTAAATCTTTTTTGAGGAAATAATCAAATTAACTAATTTTTATAATAACCTTTTTGACAGATTTAATTTGTGGTACTAGTTTATTTATTTACAAGAGAACAATAAATTGATATTGTATTAATATCTGTTTTATTGGCTTATATAAGATTTTGGTATGAGGTGTACTACAAAAGTAAAAAGGGCCCCCCTAATAGATTTTATTTCTAAATTTATTATGATATAACTTGTAAAAAGAAAATATGTTTATATATTCATTGTATTAAATTTTAATGAATATGATTTGTTATAGCTTATATAATTAGAGGTCAACATTTTATTCTGTTGCATATTTTATTGAGTAAATGCAAAAAACAGGGATTCAAAATCTCAACAAACTATAAAATGTTTAATTAAATATATTTAATTTTTTCATATTTGAGAATATTTTATTTTTTATTATTATAATGTATTTTTATTATTAAAAATAAAAGTAAAAATTAATTTATTAAATTTTTTTTTTAGATTATAAAACTATATTTTGAATTTAAGAAAATATATTTAAATAAAATATAAATATATTTTCATTATATTTCACTGAATTTTTAAAGAATATATTTAACTTTTTTTTAGAATATTAACATTATATTTGATTACTTCAAAGAATATTATAAATCCCTTGTTATAACTAATATTATATCAAACATTAATTGTTACTTTTATCTTTAGATGCAGATTCTTTGATTGTGGTACCGAAACATTTTACTGCGCGTTCTTTAACTAGTGATAAATTAAATTAAAAATGTCAATATCAGGTACTAATGAACATACAGCTACAAAATTTGAAGTTGAAATCAAAGATGGTATTACAGTGGTAACAATTCCACCTGTTATTGATAATCCCTTATCAGAAGATCAAGAAGATGAACTAAACAAACTAGAAGAAATGTTTAGTTTTCGTTATACAGATAGAGATGATGAATATGTAGCTAATGAAGTTGTACTAAAAGAAGATATCACTAATCCACCTATAATAGAGTCTTATAGACCTTTTTGGAACCAACAAAATAATGAAAGAAGAGGCATTAAAAGAGGGTGGTCTGACAATAGAACCGATAATAATTACAGACAGCCATATCATTCATATGGAAATAAAAGGTTACAAAATAATCATAGTTATGATTACAATAAAAGATAGATAACACAAAAAAAATAATATTTTAAGTATTTTACCCAAATTATAATCCATATAAATTTTGGAAATCATTTATATTATATCATTCAATGTATACTATTATGTTTAGTAAAGATTATTATTAAACAATTGTTGTATTTTACTTATAGTCACTATAAATTTTAATCAGTGATTTACTTTTAATATAATTTAAACTTTATTCAAGTAAAATCAGAAATAATCCTTAGACATTTTTTTAACTTGTTTTGAGTATGAAGACCCAAATCACGTGAGAATTTAACTTAGAATATCTGCGTCTTACATCAAATTTATTATATGATACTTTTATATATTTTACTAAAACACTTAATAAATGTTTTTTAAACGAACATTTATTATACTTATAAAGTAACATTTAAAATTTCAAATTACTTAAGTTATTTGAAAACAATTATTAAAATGGTTGGAAGTAAAGTCGTATTTGAAGGGGATTCTTCTCCTTCGAAATTTTTTAAAATATACATATATAAAACCTAATTAATTATATTTAATATACGTATATGGCTCAAGTTGTAAAATTATGAATATTTTTAATAATGTGGTAAAAGACGTATTAAAAAATGTTTGTCCTAAAAAGACTCCCTCTATACAAATGAATAATTTAACCACATTAGAATTTTTAGATATAAATATCAATATATCATTTTTAACAGCCAAACACCTAGAGTCAGAGTTCTAACTTGAATAAGTACTAAAATATGATTGGTTTTAACCAACATGCAATTCTGTTACCGTCACTCTAATTCTACAATAAACTAATTCACTCACGTACGTAAATGTATATTCCGCGAGACACAAATGACACCATTGTACGTAGTTAACACACACACACATATATGTATATAGAGTGTTCAAAAAGCAAGAAAAGGGGTAAATTATTACTAATTGAGTACAATAGAAACCCGTTTCATTACTTACTGAACACTATATTTAAATGAAGAGTAGATTTAATTAATTTGATGTTAGTAGTCAGTACATTTAAAATAAATTGAAACTAAATTTGTAGGTAACTGTTCTAATTGAAATTCAAATTGTTCAAAAAAATAATAAATATTTAATAATATATATACAAAAAAATATTATCGTTGTCTAATAACTTATTCCGTTAACATTTTTAATCGTTTAAGTATAGCTAATTATTAAGTGGTATACGAGTAGAATTGAATGGGTCCATCTGTATTTCGGTGCGATAGCAGAGTTCTCTTCCAAGGATAAGCTGGTGCTGATGAAGGTGGCACATAGTAGTCATTAGAGAACATTTTTTTTAAATTGGACATCAATGAAATCATTAACGCCATTTTACTGACAATCAGTGCTTTACCACCAAGAGTAGACATAAACATGAATCCTAACGGTATGAGTATTGCTGACATGATCATGTAAGTACTTACAATGATTGGAAACACTCGTCGATAAGAATGTCGCCGGCGACCTAAGAAAAATTGTGAATTAATAAAATTAATACTTATTCTTACAGCTAGGTTAAGTTGTTTGAAATAGATCGTGTAATTTTTTTGTGAATAATATTTTATTAAATACATAATCTGATCGATGTGATACAATGTAGTGCTATAAAAACATTCACATGGACATTTTTTTAATATTTGTTAAAAAAAGAAATATAAAACAAAATGCATCCTACGATAATTCGCTTCATGCAAATAGAGAGTTTTAGAGGGCTATAACTTAGTGGTGTAGCTAAGGTGGGGCTAAAAGAGCTATAACCACTCTAATTGGCCAATTACTACTATTACTACTAGTATATAGCTTTAGTGTTAGTAAGAGATTTTTTCCCTCCAAACAAAAATCCTAGCTAAGCCACTGCTATAACCTTCAGAAACCAATAGCACTTTTTGAATTTTTGATCTCGTATGAATTTTATTTATATATATATATATATGAACAGCATTGGTCGTTTTATCTTAATGCCAGCACTGTATAAAAATATTAGTAAATCGTAAATTGAATGTATTCAATTCCTCATGGGGGAAAACATGGTAAATTACAAAAATATATTATTTCTTTTAAACTTATGTTTGAATTTTCTTATTAAATTTTTAAAACGTTTATGGTTTTATTATTTTACTACGATGGATTCTAGTAAAATTATTTTGTAACCAGATGGCTTAATATATTATACATTATTATTATTATTTTTTTTGGATAAGGATAAATAGGATAAGGGTGGCCGACCCTGAGTAGTTGGGATTAAGGCAAGGAAGAAGATTTTTTTTTTTTTTTGAAAAAAAAAAATTATTTTATAGAAACAGTGAAATATTGTAAAAAAAAAAATAATGGTCAAAGTTGACATTTATTTTGACTAGTTTGGTAGGATTCATACCATGTCTTTTTAATTTCTATTCAGTCATAAGAATATTTTTAATATCAACGGTTTGTAAAATGTTTCACTGTGGAACTATTAATATTTATAGTGTTAAAAATGATAGGTACAATAATAATTATTTGCTATAACAGATGTAAATAATTTAAAAATGATTAATCATGACTGATTATACCTTCGACTTCAGCTTTAGAATCTGGTGGTGCCCTCAAATCAATCTTTAATTTGCGGTTATTGATGAATGAAAGTATTTTTTCCATCACTGTAATATTCTTTTCATTCCTTAGAGATGAAGAAAAATTAATTTTAGTTTAATCACAATAATGACTTATATTAGGTAGCCTACTTAACTCAATCGACAAGGCGTCGTACCTCAGTGCGTAGGTACCGAAATTCGATTCTACTGAGCTGGATTGTGTAGGTTTCCCGTCCTCTCTGGCACAAGTAATAACTTTTAAAGACAGTGGCGGTCAAATGAAAGAGGATTAGGGGGATAGATTCCCTCCTATTGACATACCCTATTGACATTTTTGTACAATTTTCATTATATAAGTAAGTAAAGAAACGGGTTTCTATTGTTCGCATTGCTTATAACAATTAACTTGTTTTCTTACTAACTAAACACATTATATACATTTTATATTTTGTAAACTTTAAATATGCTAATTCAATATAAAAATTGTTGAGCATAATTAATATGCAAAAATTATTAATCCCACAAATTTAGAACATTAAATATTAAGTCTTGGTCATTATCTATATGCAAGAGAAATTCAATGGGAAACTATTCTAAATTAAATGAAATATTTAAAATAGGCTTATTAAGAAGCGTCTAATAGTCGTTATAGCAACTTGATATAGTAAATAAAAAAAAAAGTTTTGAGATATGAACACACAGTTCCTATGATAATATTTACCAAGATTTTTTATTCCTTTCCATGGAAAAAACATTTGACCGCTATTGTTTAGAGAGGACGTTAAACATTGTTAAAAAAATCATATCGTTTATAATAATGCACTGTGTAAATAAAAAAATGTTTTCTTATATCTAATTTAAGTACTATAGTTATTTAAAAATAATATATAATTTGAAAAATTATATTAATATAATATTATATATAAATATACAATTTCGTGGTATGGTTTATTTTGAATTTTTATGTTTTTTTTATGCAGAAAAACGTAGAAAATTACCAAATTACTTTTTTTTAATTAAAAATAGTTCTTTAAACTGTTATACTAATAAACGTGAATTGTATGGTACGTTAATGAAAATATTCAATAAAATTAATTTTAATAATATTTTTTTTACTTTATGGGGAAACCGGTAACAATTGAAGTAATCTCTGGCAATAGTCAATCTATGATTGTAGCTATTTATATTTGTTGTCGTTGTGTTATATGTGTTGTATATACTTAAAAAAAAACAGCGAGTCTTCAAAAACCATCTCATCTATTGAGAGAATTAGTGACTAGAAAAGTTTCGGACAACATTCTAATTATATATATTAAAGCTCTATTATCTATTAGTGACTGACCGTTATATATAAATATGACCGTAACGGAAGATAAGATAATAAAAGTTTTGGGTATCTGTCTTTGAAAATAATATTTCAGCAGTAAATAGAAATTATTCTTACTCCTTTAACAGAAACTCAAAAATTAATGAATTAGAAAATTAAATCGAATTAATATAAAAAATATGAACAAATGTACTCGCTAGAGGTAGAACATGATGGTAGAGGTCATTATGGAGATGAATAGAAGAAAACCTCAATTTGAGTGGGAATTTAGGGGAATATTAAAATGTTATTTATTTCTGCTTTTAGACACCTCTGGGGGTTATTAAAAAAACAATTTTAGAGATAAAAAAAAGAAAAATGGGTCTTATTTTACACCCCTCAGGACACCTATTTATGTATTACTAGAGTTTAAAAAATTTACATTCTGTACATCAATGGTGAACACATATTAGGCTTCGGTATTATACTGAATCCTATTAAATTATGAAAGATATTACATCTACGGGTGTAACTCCAATTGAACTATCAATTCAAACATTTAACAAACTAAATAAAATTTAAACAATAACTTACAAAAAATTTCTATCAAACATTGTTTTATTAATATTAATTTATAAATATTTATTATTTATCGTAAAGAATTATCTTTTTTTTACGTTATTTCATATTCTTTACATTAAAAAGTTTTTTAATCCATATATTAAAAGAAAACGGTAGCACAGTGGGGTCAAGGCACAGTATGAGCGTGGCATAGTTGGGACTAGTATAGATGATATCTGACTGTGATTAAAATCACTATCATAAGAAACGCTTCAATGCAAATCTGTAGATTATGTTTAATTTTAAGAAATTGGTGGATTATTAAAAAGCAAAATTCTAACTCAAAAAGAATTACAGAAAAATTACAAAAAAATTATTGCCACGGCCAATAATATTTTAACTACGGTAACCATAGAAAATACATCGTCGGGACAATTTTTTTTTTTTGAACTATAGTACATAACATTGCTTTATTTTAACATATGTTTGAAGTTTGTAGTATTTCCGGAACATTTTCAAAACTTAAATTGAAAAAGTTAAATTTTTGTGCAGAAGTTGCTAATTTAAATCCCCCTCTGTGGGCAGATAAAAGGTCAGATTTTCAAAATATTTACATCAAATAAAAGAAAAATATCAATGATTTTAATATAAAAAAAATTATTTTGATTCGTTAATTTTTCAATAAGTTAAAGCAATTTTTAGAAAAAAAAAAAAATGAAAAAATATCGAAATTTACTGATTTTAAAAATTGTAATTTTTTGGGGGAATTTCTTTAATTATGAACTAGGGCAAAACTTTCAACTTTTGAGGGTAATGTCTTCAACTAAATATGATTTGTGATTTTTTGACATTTTTTGAAAAATCGGTCCTGTGAGAGCTGAGAAAAAGTAGTGAAAGAAACCAAATAAAGGAAAAAAATAATAAATAAAAAAATAAACACATCATGGTAAAATTAATACCTTCTCAGATTCGCATCGAAGCTAAAAAATTGAAATACTGAGTAGATATTTACATTTATTCATTAATTATTGTTGTAGCTTCAATGTAGAATTATTAACAGAAAAAAAAAGGTGCATTTGTCAATTATAAGATCTTTTTTTAGATAAATTAATATACGTGCGCTAATGAACTGAGTGTTTGTAGAAAAAATTATTTCTTAATTATAAATTAACTTATATTTTTAATATCTATGATCTGAACAGAACAAAAAGAAGTTATTAATTACCGTTAACAAAGACTACATAAAAATAAATAAATATATAAAAATAAAACAACGGTTTTGGTTAAATAGGGTAATAGAAGAATATTCGTGTGAAATTGATTTTTTTCCTTAGAGGGAACTTATTTTATATTAACAAGTTATTATGCTCTGACTCATCATAACGCAGAATATTAATTCAAGTCTTGAGTGTAGACTCAACATATATCCTATCTTGGGGTAATGTTTTTATTATTATCTTACATTTTCATACTATTTATATAATATTTGGTTTTAAATTTACGTTCAAGCAGCAATTTACAAAAAGTAATTTTAGTTTCACAAAAAATTATTGTACTTACTCAAACGATCTAGAGTGAGCTTTACTTTTGGAAAGAAAAACGCCTTTGGTTATTTCCAGGTCTTCAATATTGTCCAATAGTCGTGCAACTCTATCCGTTGACTTCAGTACTACACAACGAAAAAAACTGAACTTGCCATTACACTCGGCCAAACTTGATAGAAACCAACTAGAATTTGACAAAGGAATATAAGTGTCATCGGCATTCGTCTGTTGGTGACTATTAGCCACAATTAGAACCGATAACATCAGTGCTGTGCATAAACGATTCATCATTATTCGTATAGAATATTCGTATCGAGTCACCAGTTATTTATATGACTTACCGGGTCGTCAGTAATTTCATACGTCCGTGCACTCGTTCAATACTTACCCATTTCCGGTTTGGTTATCAGTCCGTGGAAAATCATTACTTACTTTATAGTTTTCTAGCTGTATTGACATTCATTATTTTAAATGTAATTATTTGAAGTGTAATTTAAGAACATTTTATTTTTATTTATGAAAAAAAATAAAGAAAAAATTCACGGATGGATTAACGTAATAAAAAAGAAGATTAAGACAGATATAAACGACACTAGTAATAGAAAAACGATATATTAATGAAATAAATATGATTAAGATTCAATAATGATGTTTAAAATTGCTTAATTTCCCTAAACAAGTGTGACTATTTTAGCTTTAACACAAAGTCGAGAAGGTATTAATATTAATATGGTGTATATTTATTTTTATTAATTTTTTTTTTGTGTCTATTATCACTTTTTCTCAGCTTTTATTTTTGTTGACGATACGTCAAAAGATCACAAATTTTATCTAATTGAATATATTACCCTCAAAAATTGAAAAATTTTCCCTTGTTTCAAGTAAAACAAACAAATTTTAGTAGTCGACAAATTGACATTTTTAGGTAACGTCTCATATTTTATCTCATCCCTCCTCTATACCAAATAAAATTTTCTAGTGCCAGCACAGATGCACGAAGTTACTTGTAAATTCTTTAATACTCTACCTTTATTAGGTACATAGACTCTCGATAATTCGAAACTTTTGATAATTTGTAGTATAAGTTCAATCACTTGAATATCTCTCAGCAATTCAAAGAAAAATAATGCATTTTAGTACACTTGATGATTCGAAGTTTAGTTTACATAACTCTTGAAAGTTTGAAGTCGTTTTAAAATAATAATAGTTCATAAAATTAGAAATAATTTATACAGTAACATGTCACCAAAAACTTTGATATATTATAGACTAGTAGTAACAAATAGTGTTAAAAAATTCAAAAATAACAAAGTAAAAATGTTTAATTTTGTACTTGAAACATGATATCATATCAAACCTAATTCGACAATAAATACTTTGAATATATTAGAAATGAATGATTTTATTTATCTATATGGAGAATGTGGGCTAAGAAACTTTTTAATTGATAAAATGGAAATTTTTTTCTATTTTTATGTTATATCTTTAACTAGTTACTATAATTATAATCATTTGACGTATCGTTTAAAGATATTGGTCAAGTGAATGCTGAGTAAAATGAATGATAGACAAAAAAAAACCACATAGTAAAATTATTTTAATGTGAATAATGAAATTCCTTCTGCAAGGCGAGACTATGGTGATGGGGTCTTTGATATTCATTGAAGTTATTCAATTTAAAAGAGATAAAAATCAAACGAACTTTGAATTTTTTTTCACTTCAAAAATGAATTAAGAAAAAAAATGAAAAATATGTCAATTTGACTTGGGGGATTCTAACCTGGTACCCTGTGCTTGAAATACATAAATGTTATTGGCGCGGCAACCGTACAGAATTTTAAGAAATTGTTGGATTATTCCAAAAGCAACTTTTATAAATATTCATAAATATTTGACAAAAAAAATTGAAATGGACGATTATAAAAACACAAAAAATGCTGATTTTTTACACCAAAATAACATTTTTTGTCTAATTCCTGGCGCCTATTACATACAGAAGATAAGAAGTCGGGACAATTTTTTTTTTAACATATAGTACGTAACATACGTTTTAATTTGACATATGTTTAAGGAACGTAGTATTTCCGGAACATTTTCAAAAGTTAATTTTTCTGAAGAAGTTTCTATTTTGAATTTTCCCTTTTTGAGCAGGTAAATTGTCAGATTTTCAAAAAATTGATATAAAAAAGAGAAATATCTCAACTATTTATATAAAAAACATCATTTTTATTCGTTCATTTTTCAAAAGTTATAACAGTTTTAAGTAAAAAAGTTAAAAATATGTCAAAATTTACCGATTTAAAAAAATCTTAACTTTTTGGAGGATTTCCTCCATTTACAGGAAACAAGGCAAATTTTTTCAATTTTTTTAGGGAAATGTCTTCAACTAGATACGATTTGTGATCTTTTGATGTATCGTTGAAAGATATTGGTCCGGTGAGAGCTGAGAAAAATTGGTGACATAAAAAAAAACATATAATGTAATTAATACCTTTTCATCTTCTAAGCTTTACATCGAAGCTAAAAAAAAGTTGACATCCCTTTAAAACATAAGGGATGAACATATTTTATAAAAGATAAACGGAGATGCTTATGTAACTTACAAAAACAAAAACAAAAAAATTAGTATTTTAAAAGATATTGACAGTCAAGTGTTAAAAGAATCACTCTGTACATTGTTTGAATAATTATTAATTGTACGAATGAATAATGAATATATATACACGTCAACATCATGAATTGTCAATGGTTAGAATAGGTTGGAGGTGAAGAGCGGATGCTGCTAAATTTATCGTAAGTCTTTTCTCCGACACGCTCTTCCTCCCGTCAACAAAATAGTGAATATCTTTCTATGCACTGGACCAAAATTTGTTATAAAAGTTAGTTTGCCAATTAGGCATAATACAAGATTACAAGTTTGTAGGTACCTATTATTCGTGAGCCTGGGGGTCTTGACTCCCCTTGTTACCTGAATATGAATACGAGGTTTTGTCACGTAACTGACGATGAGATTAATGTCATTTTTTATATTTTCAAAGTGTATAATTTTATATTATTCAATTTAAATATTAATTTAATATGTTGACTAATTTAACTAGTATCGAATATTACTATTATATTACTCAATTCAATACAGCCTACTATATTATACATTTAATTTTGGCTTGAATACAATTTATTTTCGGAGTGAGTGAGGTTACCAAAAATAAGATTACTTAGTTGGCCTTTTCAATGGTGTAGTGAATACTTAAACTATTTCTAGAATATATTTTTATAAAAAAATAAAATAAATAAAAGCGATGAAATAATCGAATATACAAGTGATATTTATTTAAGTGAAATATTTTACAAAAATGAATTGATAGCTATTAAATTCATTGAATTCAAATAATTTGAAATCATAATATTTGTTTGATAGTATTAGCTTTCATCATCCATATTTGTATCCTCATCCTTGTCCTTATTTGTATCTGCCTCATTTTCTCCATCCTTGTCCTTATTTGTATCTGCCTCATTTTCCTCATTCTTGTCCTTAATTGTATCTACCTCATTTTCCTCATCCTTATACTCGTACGTAAGTAATAAACGCTTCAGGCCTAAAAAAAATCATAGCATCAATTAAGATTCAATTATATAAAGATACAAAATATATTTAAATTATTAAAATTTATTATTAAGTTAATATAAAATTATTTAAATATTTAAACTTTTTGTTAAAGAACTGTACTACATTATAAGGTATATAATCAATGATTAATTAGTGATAATCATTGATCAATAATTAATAAGACCTACATCGATTACTAAAAGGGCAAAATTTGTTAGTCCACTGTTTCTCAATGTAATTTTTATTCTATTTGATAAATATTAGTTGTGTTTTTCATTGTGCAGAAAATTTTAAGTTAAATATAACAATAAACATGTTTTTAAACATTTTTATTTTATTTTTTTACAAACATATTTTTGTACACATAAAATAAGTAATGAATAGTTAAGTCATTAAAATATTTATTTAATCTTAAATATAATTAATGTGACAGTCAAAACAAATCTCATATAAAATGTAAAAAGTTTTCATAATTATGTTTAAAAAGTTGTTTATTAAACTAAAAATCGTTAAATATGCCATCTAAAGAAAATTTTACAAATAGAACAATAAAAATACAGAAAAGTAGAAATGTATAACACAAGTAATTTTATTTAAAAATAAATTTAAAATTACTATTGTGTAAAATTTTGTATTTGGAACTTCAACTTTTGGCATTTTAGCCTTCAATATATTCAAATTAAAGTTACTTTTAATTATTATAATTATTTTTTTATAAACTTGAAATATTATGATCACCTAATTTTGTAATTATATTAATGACACATTTCAATGATAAACCATGCGAGTAAAAAGATAACCAGGTGGTGCAAAAACATCTCTGTATAATATATTTTAATATTTTATTTTACAAATAAACACAATTTGAAAAAATAATTCGGTAAAATTTTAGAACTTTTGTTGTACTTACCGTTTAGTAGTACGTAACTCTCAGTGTGAGCTTTCATCAACTTGATTGCATCATCTTTACTAATAAAACCATCATTATCAATTTTTAATTCGCATTCTATTTTATCTAGAGATTCATAACGTCTGCGTGTACTCTGTATCAAAGCTCCCAGAAAATTATTAATATACTATAAAAAAGGATTTTTTACAATTATAATACATTACAAATATTGCATAAACAAGATTGTCTAACTCAGGAGTAGGCAATAAGTTTGTATGGCGGTCCAGATGGTTAAAAAAAATTATTTTCAAGAACCAAAAAAACCTAAATATATTTAATAAATTTATTAAAATTTAAAAATAAACATTATATAAATTTAATAAAATTCAGTTTCTATATATAAAAAGATGTACATAATAGAAAAAAAATGATATCGTTTCTCCTGGGCTAGTTTTTAGAACTTTGGTACTCTCCGATATTCAATAAGCTAATAAAACATAAATTAGGAGAGTTTGGAGGGGATTAATTTGATAATAATATTTGTTGTCCTACTGCTGATCTTTTATCCATATATTTAAAATAAATCTTTTTTAAAAGTAAAATTAAAGAACCACTACAAAATTAATCAAACCTTAACTAAATTTTGTTTGCCACCGATATCAACAGGTCTGTGTTAGGCTTAGACTTCTTGTTTAATAATCCATTGTGCTCACGCATTTAAAAAATTCTTAGTTCATTTTAAATTTAATGGCTTACATATTTTAAAAATTCAGTTTGAATTTTTATTTGACAATATTATAATATTAATTAAATTAAATCAAATACGAAATACTTGTCATATATAAATTATGATGATTAAAATGTATATAGTCCATATAGAATAGTCTTCTATATAGTGTACTAAACAAATTATGTATAAGTTAGGTGAGGTATTAGTAAAGGTAACAAGTAAAATGATTATCTTATTATATAATAGAACAAGGAAAAAAACGCTTTTCTGGGAAAATTACTTAGCGTGCTCGGAATTTCAAAATTTTTTTTTTCAACGAAAGTACTCGGTCACCAGACTCCGGGAAAATTATTGGCGAAGGTCGGAAAATTTTTGCCGCTCGCCCGCGAGCGTTTTAAAATTTCGACCGTTTTCGAGAAAAACGCTCGCTGACGCCAGCGTTTTACGACTTAAGGTTTGAAATTTTCATCAGACCCGCCCAATGACATTCCTGACATATGATAAAAAAATCAATTCAATCCGTTCATTTTTCACATTTTACGAGCTTTTTTTTTAAGTCCACGCGCATGGTTGTATTATGCGCAGTGATTCATTTCTGCTGATACGTATTATGAACCTTAATTATATGGTGTATTATGTATTATTATTAGGACACTATTTTGCATTTGCCCTATTTTTATCAAGGAATGTTATATGTTATATATAAATTTCATGACGTTATAATTATTTAAGTTTGTACTTTCATTATAAGAACAGTACTAAGTACAGAGTTAATAATTTTCTTTTTTCTCATATATGATGTATGAGACTATGAGTTTATCTTTTGAATTGGGGTTCATCTATGATAACTATGATGTTCATCGTTAAATCGCAGTTACTAATATATTTATCAAAATTAAATTTTTATTTTTATTTTTAATATTAATTTTAATTTAAATTTACAGTGTGCCACTTATAATAACCTGCTAAATTTTTTTTTAATTATTCTATAATATAAAAACAATTATTATAATTAGATTATTAATAATTTTTGTGTATAACAGGGGTGTATTTAAGAGAGATTGGCCCCTTCTTGAACAAGCGCTAGCAATATTTTTTTAGGCAACTTCTAATATATAAGGACTGAATGTCCTTTTTTTTTCATCAGTACTTTAATTTTAGCAAAAAAAATTTCTATAACATGTTTAACAAAGTAAAAAATATTAAATTTCCTCCTAAAATAATTTTTGAATAGGCCTAAAGGGAATACCTCATTAAGAGGCTTCAACCTTATACCCAATACATTTTACTATATTCTCTTTTTGAATTTTCCTGATTTTAATAATAACATTTTTAGATATAGTTTTCACTGATTCTGAAGTAATATTTTTTCTGAAAAACACTTATCGTGCCCGGCGTAGCCGGGTACTTCTACCGGAATCAGTGGCCTACTTATGATGACGGCCCGAAGAGACTTACGCGCCGAAGCCGCGTTAGGCTCGAAGGGCCCCGGGTCTGGGGCGGAGCCCCAGCTAGGCGGAGCCTAGTATCTAATAAACGAATTAAGTTATATTAAAAATTCAAATGCCATTTACTATTAAATTAAAAACTCAAACATTTTATTAAATTAAAAATATGTGTTACCATTTAAAAATACAAAGTTAACCCCCTTCCAAGGCATAAGGGATGAACTTAAAAAGTATTACATAGTTAAAACTTCAAGAATAATGTGTAATTAAAGATAATGAAAAAAAAAATGTTTAAACTATTATTATTCTGCAAGTAATTGAGTGGGTTATGATAAAAAAATCACTCTGTATATGTTTAAAATTTCACTTGTATAAATGCTTGTGTCAATAATTTTTGTTTAATTGAAAATATAGTTTTTTTTTTTAGGTTGCGATTTTTTTTTACTATGACGGCTTATTTTTGACAAAAATATAATTGTCCAGACAAATTTTTTTTTAATTTTGTAGAATATTTTAATATCTATAATTCATATTGGTGAACATAGAGCACACGTTATGAACCCTTTCAAAAATCTAGTTGAAAAACATATTTTTCATGCGTGGGTGGTCTGTTTTAAAACCACGCACATGAATGCTTGGTTTTTTTAATCGATATTCATTAAAAGTATATAAAAGTAATAAGCTCTCTAGCTTATTGTCTTTAATATATTTTAATAAAAATTCTTTAGGATCAGCGTTTAAATAAAAAGTTAAGTTGAAAAAGTTCTACTTTCTATATGCATTTTTTATATTTGAAGCCCCCCCTATATAGAGAAATGGTCTGATTTAAAAAGTATGTCGAATGAAAGATGTATATAAATACTACTTCTCATGAAAAAATTTTATTGATCCATACATCGTTCAAAAAGTTATAGCATTATAAAGTTAAAAAAAAACCATCACAGGGGGGTCGCGGCACAGTGGTGACATGGCATAGTTGGATCAAGTATAATGATATCTGACAGTGATTAAAATCACTATAAAAAAAAACGCTTATTTTTTTCATAAATTTAACCCTTAACCTGCCCACAAGAGGGGATTTAAAATGACAACTTTTTCACAAAAAATTAACTTTTTCAACTTAACTTTTGAAAATGTTCCGGAAGGTTTGACACTTTTATATATATCTTAAATTGAAGCTAATGCAATGTTCTTTATTATGCAAANTTCCGGAAGGCCTGACACTTTTATATATATCTTAAATTGAAGCTAATGCAATGTTCTTTATTATGCAAAAAAAAAATTTCGGACTTTATTTTATCTTCACGGTGAAAATGGCTACCGCGAATGCTATTTTTCTGTGAAAATTTTCGATTTTGTATTTTACATTTTTAACTTTATTATGCTATAACTTTTTGAAAGATGTATGGATCAATAAAATTTTTTTATGAGGAGTAGTATTCATATACATCTTTCATTTGACATACTGTTTTTTTAAATCGGACCATTTCCCTAAATACAAGGGGGATTCAAAACATAAAAATGCATATAGAAAGTAGAACTTTTTCAACGTAACTTTTGAAAGTGTTCCGGAAGGTCTGACACTTTTATATATATCTTAAATTAAAGCT